TACTTCCGTAGATTTCCGTAGCTTTCAGCCATTCAGAAGTACCTTCATGGGCTGCATCCTTCAAACAATGTAGTCTCTGAATTGAGATACAATTACTTAACCCTTTGGTATTTGGTCAGTTGCTATGTTGTGTGTTGTATGTAAAAAGATGTTATATGCAAGTATAAGCCACCAAATTCTGTTTTTATTTTCTACATTAATATGGGAGACAATGAAATGAGCAAAAAAAAGCTAAATATGTTTTCAAATGAGCTACTTGGAAAAATCTAAAAAATCAAACATATTTTACTTTGCCTTCTACCACTTGAACTGAACAAATGACAAATAACACCCGTGTCATTTGGTTTGTGATGCAGTACACTTGCAACAAAGCCCTGCAGAGCTACAGCTACAGGCACATTTTACATGTTCCTTTTAGAAGCTGCGACGCTAACAGCAGTCATTTTTCTTTTCAGCCCTGCCGGTGCACAGAAATAACCAAGAACACTTTGCCGGTGATCAGCCAAGCTCCTCCATCCATCTCCACTGATTCAGACATCCGAGACGCTGAGTGGTTCACATGTGTGGTTTGCTTTTACCTGAGTGTGTGTGCACTCACCTGGCCTTCAAAGCAGTTATATGGACAGCCTCAAAATATCTTAGTCACTATGCTTTAAATAGCCATGTTCTCCTTTAAGCCATCTGTTGAACCTATGTACGTGGAACCACTTTATTACCTGACTCTGGATGAATGGATAAAAATATCATGGTCCAGTGGCACGGATATCAAAAGTAACTTTATCTGTGGTTTGTACAGGAGAAGCATGTGATATGCAGTTTCAGAAGCGACAAATGTCACGGTGACAGCTCTCTGTGTCTCTGAACACTAATATCGTCCACTGAACAAATGAAAAGGACCCACTTTGTTTCGTGGACTTATGTCTTTACGTGTTTAGAGACACTTTGATCAGACAAATCTTCTAACAAGTGGATGCGGTGGATTAGCTGAGTTTAAAGTAGGAGGATTAAGCTGTTTTGCTCTCTTTTTAGCAGTGCAATGGTCTGTCAGTCGGTCCACCACAAACATCTCAACAACTATTGGACTGATTGGTAGCCGTACACACAGTCATGTCCTCTTTAGGTCAAGTAAAAGTGTAATTTGTCCAATAGTTTGGTTTATATAATTATAAGTAATGGCATTCCCATCAGCCCCAGCTTTAGCTTTACTTACTACTTAGGGTTTGAGTTATGTGGGAGCCAGCGGGAGCCCATAAGAAACAGTCTGAGCTACCATGTGCGGGTCTCTGATACATTACCACAACCATTATTTAATGACAAATACTGCATTTTACAATGTAATAAATCCTATTTCCGTTAACGTTGTGCTACGTTAGCTACTACTCTCTTAGATTCTGTATTGACTGCTTGCTCTGTACTACAACTTCAAATTTACAGGTCGTAAAACATTGCATCCCGCCACTACTGAAGCGCTACATAGTGCGCCTACTTTCATATGATACCAAAAAGGGCAGAATTCTCTCTCCCATGGAAAGTGCACCCGTTAGGCTATTATTTCTCTATCTGCGCCCCAACGTTAGTTAGAGACCACAAAGCTCAGATTAGAATTCAAACGCTGCTAATTAGCAAATATCAGCAAGCTAACACGCTAAACTAATATGGTGAACATGGCGGACATTATTTCGCTAAACAGCATGTTTGCATTGTCACTGTGAATATGTTGCCATGCTAGTGTTAGCTATTAGCTCTCAGAAGTTTTTCAGGTATCTGTACTTTTCTTGAGTATTTCTTTTTCTGACTTTTCCCATTCTTACACAAATATCCGTTCTACTCTCTACTTTCTACTCCTTAAAAACAGGCTAATTCTATCATCCCAACACCAAGACCGGTACATGAGACGACAACAAGACAACTCTTTTACTTTTACTTGAGTAAAGAAGTTGAATCGATACTTTTACTTTTACAGGAGTCTTTTTTAAAGTATCTGTACTTCTCCTTGAGTTAAGAATGTATGTACGTTTGCCATCTATGCTAGCTCCAGGCAATATACTGTGCCTCACAGAGCTGCTTACATGGCTGTAGACTAGTCTACTAGACTGGTCAGTAGATGTCAACAACAAGCTACAGTAGTGCAACTGACTCCCTTATTGAATACATTTACTGCTATCAAACAGGAGCACAGTATTATTTCCAAATACTTGATTTGATTAGGTTGTGTATTATGGTACAGCAGGTTAACAGACAATCCTCAAAAAGCTCCAGGGTTAGGGTTAGGTCTTTGTTGAGCTATTGTCTTGCCCTGAACTTGACCCCTCAGGCAGACCCCCCAAACCCCCCCCCACAGAATTATATATGCATGTGTTAAAAGATGGTTCAGATGAAAGCAAAATGTTGGGGTTAGGGTTTGCCACATTTGGCTCAGAATTTATAAGAAATCACAAAAATACAACCATGGTGCTGAAAGAACGATTGAATTACTCAACACAAAAACAGCAAAAACTGTTTTCTATATAAATCTTTATTCTTCAAAAATGAAGTAAATAAAAGAAATTAAAATATGTAAAGAGTTTGTGGGCAGCATGAAAATATGCGTTTACGAGTATGAGTACATCTTCTATGTTATGTGTAATATTTATGGACTTTCGCTCCAGTTTTTCCACTTGTAAAATGGGAGGGGAAAAAAGACATTCAGATGAATAAATGAATAAATACAGTGCTAGTCTATTTCGGTGAGCCCGTAGTTTTACCAGCAGATTAAACTCTCAGACAGCAGAGCAGTGCTGCTCACTGGACTACGAACAATAAACACTAGAGTGCAGTCTATTCAGAGCGATGATGTGAGAACTATTTGGCAGTAGACGGGTAAGAGTGCAAACCACCTTTCATAAAACAGAGATTTAAGTCCCCCACCATCAGTTTTTCTCCTTGTTCCTACAGTGTGATGTTTGAATTATGTACGTGCAGAGTTTGACACTAGAAGGATGTTTTCACATTCATCTGCTGAAAGTGGAAAGTTTCTCTGTGCTCATTGAAAACCTGATTGTTCAGGGGGCGGGGCCTATCAGCATGACATCACAAATAGGGGAGTGGCTTTCTACCAGGGGCTGGCTGTCAGTGTCCTGGTCAGGCTGCACCACTGACCCCCCTGCCCAGTGTCGATTAGAGAGACAAACAGGATTACAGCCACGACCACGGAAAGCAGGATTTCCAGGAACTGAGCCTTGTGGTGCCTTTTATCTCACGCGAGCATTAATCTCATTGGCAGCAGTAAATTAACAGTGGACAAGGAACAGACCTGACTGAAGCTCTGAAATTCCACAATTCCCAACAATACAACACCAGGAATCACCCATGTGAAAGACCTCTGTCACAACATTTATGTCCATGTGGGCTCTGTGAGTGCATATGTGGGTTATGGGGCCAAGAAGGCTAGATTCCATGTGGGCACTCACCCACGTGGGCCCTTTGTGTCCATTTTACAGTATAGCAACTATGGATTTGCTAAAGGTAGGGCCCCACGTGGGAAAAACTGGGCCCCAAATGGGATATCTGTGGGCTATTGTGCAAATTTAAATGATGAAGTTGCTTCTCTGTTGTTGCTTTTTACGTTTTTCCTCCCAACGCCAACGCCAGCAATGAATAAACTAATTTAAATGAATAAATAAAGAGTTAACTTTTCTGGTTACATCTAAGGGTGCTTCAAGCTGCCTTCCCCTCCACTAGGTGCTTCTATTTCTTCTATTATTCATCAGTTAAGATCTCCTACATGAAACCTGCCTACATAAAAAATAGAACCACAATCACCGTGGTATACAGGACAAAATGGTGGACTTCAAGGTCTTACCTGTGTGCCTGTCTACTCTTAAGCAACGTGAATTATTTAACAAGTGAGGGAAGCTGAGGGAGTGAAATTACTTAAAAGAGCACCCTGTAACCCTCGTCTTCCTGATCGTGCATCAGTCAGACCACTTAAAAGAATAACAAATCCACCTCAAACAACATCCCATTGGACAAAAAAAGCTATTAGCAATGAACTCATCTTCATGCCCATTCTGTTGGGGGGGGGCATATTATTGGGAGTGCGAAAGGAAGGGAAAGGATTGTTTCTAGACTACAACGTGCAAACAAAGACCTTCAGTGATATTTACAGGAACACGTTACTCTCATGTTTATGTCTTTATTTATTCCTGTTTTGTTTTTCTCCAAATTTTTTCTCTAAATTTGGATAGTTGTCACTGTAGGCAGGTTTTGCTTTTGTATCGCAGCAGGAAGAAATATGAACATGTGGCAGGAGAGCAACAGTGTCAATATTGAGTTGTGCCATGTCCAGGTGGTTCCAAATATTTTTGCTGTTTTGTAGGAATGAGGGAGATTTTTCATCCATTCTATTACTTGTGAAGTGAAACCTGAACAGCTTACACCAAGCCTCCTGTTTTGTCTAGCGTGGGCGCCTCCAAGGGCAGTCCAGGGCCTGATACTAGATATTGAGAGCTACGCTGTGCCCTGGTATTATTTATTTAAATCAGTTAATTAAATGAAATAATGTATAAATCAATCCACAATGTATATTTTTTAATAATAGCTCATGTTAAAGAAAATAACAGCCGCAGCACTTTTGACTCTCTATCACACTGTGATTTTCAGTGGCCCCATCTGGCCACCCTTATGTTAAACTTCTTCTTTTGTCGTTTGGAGTTGAAACGATCAGCCGAGTAATCAATTAATCGTCAGCAGTTTCTGTGGGTTCTCAATTGTGAATATTTTCAGGGTTTTTTTCCCCTTAAATCTTTGGTACCCTCTTAAAAAGTGCTACCAGAGGTACAGTCAGTCTGACTACCTTAAGTATAATGCTTTCATTAAGATGAAGATGGTTAAAGCTACTGTGCAGGTGTTCAGTGTTTTTTATTTTTATTCCAATATTTATGATTAATTAGCAATAGCAAGATATATACCAAAAGCTTGAAAAAAAATTGCGATCAAGTTTTTAGCATGGATAACCAAAATACTGGCACCAAAATTGATTTATTCTTTTTTTTTTTTTTTTTTACAGTGTACATTATACAAAAATATAGAGTACCAAAAGTTCACAGTGTCCAAAAGGCAGTGTTAAGTCAAATCACGTCAATAATATTCAGCAGAAGTGTCCATTTAGGGATCAATTGGTGAACTGTGAAGTTACTGTATCCCATGTGGAATGTTGTTTCAGACTTCACTGTGAAGAAGGCTGTCGAGGCCTTTAAATACAAAACAACGCGTGCTGTGAAAGAAAAAGTGAGGCTTCCCCCTTGAAAACGAATATTTCCACTGTCCGGGCCAAAATCAGACAAACATATTTGTACAGTTTACACAAACATGTACTGTATATTCATGTAAGAGTGTTAGTGCATGCAGTCGCTCGTACGCAAGCACCCAAACGTGAACACGTATCATCAGGGCTGTTTGTTTCATGCTACATAACACTGCGAAATGTGAGAAAACACCTGAATTCATTTATGGTATTTACAATTTAGAAACACAAGATATGCAATATACATTTTACAGCACGGAGTAACTTAAATATTAACAATACTGTCTTTAAAGCCTCTATGTGTAGATTTTTGTGATCATCGAATCCTTTATATTATGGTGACAGTGTACATAAATAAGGCAATCCCACTAAAATTTGGTCGGATTCTTAAAGGACCAGTCTGTAGTTGCAGATTACAACCTCCTCGCCTCACCCTCCCATTCTGGTGTGTAGGAGAAACTGCAGTAGCCGCGAAACGCGTAAAAAATGCAAAAGGCCCTATAGAGCCAGAGTTTGGTTTGTCCATTCTGGGCTACTATAGAAACATGAAAGCCTCCATAGGCAATCTTTGAAGGTCCAGTGTTTAACATTTACACACTGGACCATGTTTCTACAGTTGCCCAGAATGGATAAACCAAACACTAGCTCTAGATAGGGCCATTAGCATTTTTCGCAGCTACCATAGCTTCTGCTTTGCGCTTGGAAGGGGAGGGTGAAGTGAGGGACTTGCTATCTGCAATCTCACTGATAGATGCCACCAAATCCAACACACACTGGTCCTTTAATGGTAGGGCGTGCAGTCTTTCATCAAATCCTACACAGAGAGGCTTTAATAGCCTACTACTTTCAGCAGTAGGACTTGTAAAAATGTTTTATTTTACAATTGTGGAATTTCAGAATAATTTCCAAGAGGTTTCCTGTAAAGAAAGTAATTTGGTACTAATTATAGGGAAAATAGAAATGGTGTTCAATTGGTCCCAATGAATTGTTGCATAACCTCAGGAGTCAGCTGAACATGCTAAAAGCATACAAGATAAATGTCACAACATATTTCTACAGGTAAGCATATTCAACATATATAGAGAATACATTACGGTTACAGTTCCATTACGGTTCCTATAAGGGAAAAATGAATGAATGAAGTGAAAGCCATTCCTTTTTTCTCTATAATTTGAACCAAATTTCTTTGTTTTTTCCAGAATATTTCTTGGAAATGATTCTAAAATTACAGACCCCTAAAACAAGACATTACCAAATTTGTATATCACAGGGAGCCTGTAACACTATTGTAAGTATAATGTCAACATCATCACGAGCAACAGAAAGAGCACTGTAATGCTACCCACTCTGAGCGTGCATACCTCATACACAACACAGACAGCCATTCATACTCCCATTCACATCTATAGACAATATCGGGTATCTAGTTCATCTACACGTTTTTGGACTGTGGAAGGAAACTGGAGCACCTGGATGAAATGCATGCAGACACTGAGGAGTGTAAAACGCCAAATATTAGTCTTTTGTTCTCTTCAGATTTGCTCACTGTTTACTTGTATTCAGAAATGTAAGACAAAACTCAGTTATAGTCGCCTTGTTTTTCTTAATTGGCAAAACTAGTGTTCAGCATATTTTTCAAAAACAAAACTCAAAGTTATAACTTATTACACTGCTGCAAAACATTTTCTACATGCAAAAAAAGTCTTATAGATGTTTTTCCTGCTTTTGGGCAGCCATTGTTTTCCATTCATTTCAGTACCCTATAAAAACAAAATGTAGAGACTTGAAACCTGCATGAGCAAGTTCATCCATCACAGTAATACACATTTCTGGGTTACCTTGTCGTTGTATGGGTCTGCAGTTGAAAAGTGTGGATTTAAAAAGCCTGCGGCTGATTTATGGTGTGTTTATGTTCTGGTGAGAGGCTCTGAAATATATACGGTTACAGCTGTATTAGATTTGGTGATTTTTGAACATTAAAGCTGCAGTTGGTAAGTTTTATATAAATAACGTTTTGTCATATTTGCTGAAACTTATAACTATATCCTGGCAGTAGTACATGAGACAAATAATATGTGAAATAATCAGGTTCTTCTGGCCCCTCTTACTGCTCCTAATGGTTTTTGCAAGAATCCACCGACCCTACATAGAAAGATAGTGCCCAGGTGGTCATAAACTGACATTCTGGGTGGGTGGCTTGAGGATAGTTGAGTCTCATTTAAGTGTCTGTATCTGATGAACTGGGAATGAAACTCAACAATCAACTCTCTTTCTTGGCTCTGATTGGTTGTTTTTATTCAGACGCGGTGGATTCTTGCAAATGCTATTAAAAGCTCTAAGAATTGCCAGAGGAACCTGATTTCTTCCACAGATCATCTATCTCGTGTACTACTGTCAGGATATAGTGAAAGTTTCAACAAATCTGACAAAAAGTTATTTTTATAAAACTTACCTACTGCAGCTTTAATGCATAAACATTCGGAAAAGAGGAGTGTGACTGACCAAGAAAATGCCCCACATGATTACAAAATCAAATAATTTTGCCTCAGCAAATACAGACACAAACAGCGACATCTATGAACACCACTAAAATAATTCATAAAATCTGCTGACAAAAAAGTCAACAAACATTTTTACAATGTACAGTACAAATCGAGGTGTGGCAAGAATGTCCTCTTCAGTGTTGTTTTCTGACGTGGACTCTGCTAAACATGAAAATTAAAGCAATTCTCTGTTCATTTCTTCACTCCATTTCCACACAGTGAAGGATGACACCTCACAGTCATCAGTCTTTACTGATGGCAACACACACTTAAGTGTCTGAGCCAAACAGTTCACATTATTACAGAGTCCTCTGAACCCACCTGCCGAAAATGAGGAAAGGACAAAAACAACAACCAGTCGACGAGATCAGTCCAGTGGAAATCCAGGTACATAAAATGTCTGAAGTCTAATTGAAGCCCTGGAGTTCTGGGTCCCACCCTGCTTCCATACTGCCCTGAGCACAAATGGAGCACCTTAGGGTGGGTGAAGTAAGAGGAAGGGGACCCCACCAATACTGTAGGTAGGTACTGGTTTCATTCAGAGAGTGAGTGAAAACATGCTTCTTTCTTGGAAGGGTAAAGGCTGCTGCATATCTCTTGCATTGGTTGCTTCTTCTTCTGCCTCAAACGTAAGAAGCAACCGTATTTTGAAGAATGGGAGAAAACAACAGGCCTGCAGCTTTCACTGGAGACTTTGCAAGTGTTGTGAAAATACAGGCATTTGAAAAAAATCCAAGGTACTCAAGGTGCACAAATATCTAAGAATATTCAAGCCCGTAAAACTGATAAATATATATTGTAGGCCATCGCTTCTTCTTTAGAATACTACCAGAATACGAACTGCAGCATCGCTCTCATTGACTACGTACAGTCTGTTCACTGAATGTTTGGATTTTAGAGTTGTTCTGATACCAATACCAGTATCAGAAATTCCTTCGGTACTGCCTAAAATGCGGCATCAGGGATCTGTGAGTATGCAGCCTCAAAACAGGAGCCTGCAGTGTCCCGTTCACTTTTTTTTATAGCAAAACCATGACTACTCTGATTCTGACAAATGGTTTATCCTGAGCCAAGCCATGCAACAATGATAGCAATTATACAGGCTTAGTAGTATATGCTCATTAAAAACATAAAGCACATGTATATTTTTTTTACCGCACATGTATCAGATCGGTACTCTTATCGGCCAATAGGCAAAGTTCAGGTATCGGGAGGGAAAAAATTGTACTGTATTGAACGGAAGGCAAACATGACCAAACTCTATGTGATGGCTAACAAACATTTGCTCCACAGCACCAGCTAAAGGGTCAGTGCAATGCAACAAAGTCTGCGAGTACAAGAAAACAATAGCATGTATGTATAATTGGTTGGATACGGCGCATACACACCTCCAGGGGAGATGGCTGCAATTCTTCACTGAAATTTCACAAGCCAGTGCTGTACGCTCTACACCGCAAATTTCTTGGCATGCTGTAGCAACTCATTAATGAAAAACTGCACATGATGCTATAACTTTGCATGATGTAAAACAGTTTCGTACAATTAAGATCCAATAATGTTACACTGAGTTGCTACACGATCAACGTTTTAGTGAAGAAATAGTTCCTGTTAAAATGTTCGCATTGAGGTCTGTGGGTTATCTAGAGTAAACGAAAAACTGTTGCTTAATGTTGTTTTAGTTTCTGTCAGCACCTTGAAAACGTGGGCAAACAAAGCCAAAACTCTCTGTGTGATAAATTTGGGTGAACAGAGCCTTTAAGATGAACAGATCTACAGATTGGACTGGAACATTAGAATGGTTTTGGTCTTTACTTTAAGACTATCTTGACCAACAGGATCATCTATCAAAATCTTTTTGAATGAAGAAACACTTCAGGGTGGTGTTTGGGTTGTTTTCAGAGCCCGACCGCCTCTCAGCTGTGCATGTAGGTCCTGCAGGGGGAGTCTGGGTGGAAGTCGTACTTGCTCAGGCTGGTAGGGTAGTAGGTGGTGGTGAATATATTGCTGGAGGGCAGCGGGGAAGGGAAGTGGTTGCACGTCTCGTCATTCACGTGGAGATTGTTCTTGTTTAGTGTCTGTAGTGCGGAGACATAAAGGAAGTCTTGGTCCTCATAAAAGCACAAATATGATCATATTTTCAAAGCTAAAACATTTCAGTTACATTATCGTATCGAGTATAGGTATATAATGAAACAATTCAACCGGCCCACCTTAAACTCCATGGGGATGTACTTCTCATTCTTTGGCGTGGCGTTGCCCTGCTTGTTGTAGGTGAGGTGGTTGGGCGTGCTGGGGTGGATGACTGCTGACTCTGGCGACGGTCGGTTCAGGTGGTGGCAGTAGGAGTAGGCGAGTGCCGACAGTAACGCTGCAGCAAAGAAGCTGGCCGAGCCCACTGCTACCAACTGGAACAAAGTAAAGGCTGGGAGAGGAGGGGTTGGAGGGGAAGAGGATGAGACAAAGGAGAGGGATCGTTAACAAATGAGACTGAAAAATCTAGTAAAGTGTTGTTTATAAAGACTGGGTTCTGCTCATGAGGGAAACTTAGCAGAGAAAATGACAGATGAACAGCTCTGTAAGAGGCCCTCAGAGTCTGTATTGTTCATTACACCCAACAGGTTATCGAATCAGCAACTTTAACAGGTTTTCCTAGCCAGACCTCTGAATAGCTGGCAACATTTTTGTCAGTGATTTAAATAGACCTGGTGATGTGCTCATTGGCAGCTGTTTCACTGGTTGGAAACACAACTGAGCCTTAGAGTTTGTTGTCAGGATTATGAATGGGGGACGTCCTTTGCCAGAGACAGAAAAATGGAACAAAGAAATTGACAGAAAAAGTGAAAACAAGCTCTACAGGTTGTTGTAAACTCAAAATACACTCTTACTTCAGCATAGCTGTGACAAGTGACTGCTATTCTATCTTGTGTGTCAATTAAAAATGACAAAGACTTCCTCTGCAGTTTGATTAGCAATTTGATATGTGTGAATGACGATCTATCTGCATATATCTGCATAAAATCAGCTGCAGATATATTTTTTAAAAACTAATAAAAAGCAAAATCACTAGCTAATGGCTTCCGAGATTGACCACCTCTTATGACTGTATAAGGTAAGGTTCCTCTGGGTAACTTGAATGTGCCTCAGCCTATTTATTACATCTTGCAATATATGTGCAAGGGCAAATTCTGGTGTAAGGGTAGAATCAAAGCACTGGGGTTCATCCTCTGGGGACTTTGAATATCTACATTACATTCAACATAATAAGGAATATTACACAATGTAGAAAGTTGATCATCTGGCCTAAGAAGGGCACTAGAAGAGGAGTCGGCTATTGACCAAAATCTAGAAAAGATTTCAGGGATCAGGGGGTCTAGAGTACTATTGTATATAGTTATACATCAAATATCACAGCTGTCTGACCAGTAAAGCCAAGATTTCTTCACTGACTGGCATCCTGAAGCCCTGCTGTCAGTATGTATGTCCATCGTACTGGGACTTGACTCTCCGGCTGCTATCTAACCTCATAAAAAGGCCAATACCGACCGCACACTTTGTCCAGTCCCATTCCACATGTGGGAAAAAGCCACAAACAAAAGTCAATATACCACCAACTGTATTGTACACCTCAGGCAAAGAAGTAAGCCAATAACTTTGTAACTCTGCAACAAGAACTAGGTGTTCATCGGTCGCAATTAAACTGAGGTGGCATAGATTTACTCTGAATGCAACAGGAGAGTGAAGGCTGATTTTCTGTTGGGAATTGAGCAGTACACACCTACAGAAGGTGTCTGCAAAGTGTAATAATTTGGGGAGACAGAATTGAGAGACAACTGTTGTTTTCACTTACTTCCACAGCTCTGGTCCTCCTGTCCGGGTAAAATAACTGGAGAGAGACAGAAAGAAATGAAACATCAATTTAGTGAAGTAAAATCCCTACAGCTCTAAAAGATCAAACAACGAAAATGACAAGATCAGTTAATTTCTCTCAAAGGCTTCACTGTTCGAGGTAGGCAGAATGATGACATCTCCATTAACTCATCTTCTTAATTTAACAAAGAATGAACAAGTCAGCATTTTTTGTGTCTGATTGAACTTTTGTACGGATCTGACTGGATCTTTCCGACTTATATCAGCAACAGCCTGCAGAAATGTACTATAGGAGGGTTGAAAACATTACAAACCTGTTTCAACAATTTCCTAATGAAAGCATGTGCTTACCTGGCACCTCATGAGGCTGGCATGGCCTAGACTGGGTGAGGTTGCCCTGGCAGAGACTGGCCTCAGCCTCTTGGTCTTCGCCACAGTGACGAGTGCGATGCTGCAGACCCTCCTCGTCACAGTCTCCCCACTCTGTCCATTCACCCCAACCTGAGGACCAAAGAAAAGAGTGGACAGAAAGAATGAAAGCTTGAGTTTGTCAAAGAGAAACTGTGAGATACAGTGGCTTGTTTTCTGTCTAGGTAGTTTACAACTGTGAAAACAGTTAATCTGCTTAGTTGTAAATTTAGGAAGTGGATTTTATTTTACTTTCAATGCTTTTGGTTTTGGACACATATTAAAATGTGTTTTCTATTTCAGTGTCCAACCAGTTTTAAGCATCTTTTAAAAACTGCACAATAAACAAAGCCAAAACAGACACTCCATAAATGGTAAAACAAAAATGAAATACATAAATATCCAAACATTTTCTTGGCTGAGATAGAAACATTGACTTCATGCTACTAACCAGCTTCTCGTTTACAAATCCCCCCATCAGCCAACCGCAGCTTAGCTTAGGCTACAGTTAGCTAGTTGGCTGCCCCTGCCTTGCATCTCTCTCAGGTAGCAGAGAGCAATCGTTACACCATTGGCATTTATTGTTAGCTAAAATCAGCACTGTTTGTCTTAAGTTAGTATCATGGATCACGTTAGTTGGTAAAGCTAGTATTTTGCTGGAGATAATGCTAGTGAGCAAGCAAGCTAGCCAGCCAACTGCAACCCAGCCACACTGCGTTTATCCACTCAAGACTGTATTTTGCTACATTTGCTACGTTAGCTAGCTTTTTGTCTGCATTAACAAGCAAGCGAGACAGCTAAAACCACAATATATACCAGAAGCTTTGCAGTAATGTTAGTTTTGACTTTGTGTTGGACGTGTGCGAGAAATCCGTTCACAAACTGTTACAGATAACTGAGAAGGTCGGGGAAGGTTATGTTACCAACCGTTGACAAATTCGCAATAAAAAGTTAAATATATAAAAATAATAATATATAAAATGCTTTAGAATCTTACATATGGCACCCTTAAGTATCTCTACTTCAGAAGAAATACCCCAAAATTAAAAAGGGTATTAAATTAGAATTTAAATCAATAATGTAACCAGACCCAATCCATGTCCACTGGTTTTTTGAACATCCATAATAGAAGTGGTTCAAGAGAGGATTTTCCAGTTTGAGTCAACTAAGTTTTGCATGGGCACACAAAAAGGAGAAGAAAGTAGCTTCTTGTAATGAGATATCCTGAAATGAACACTGCGTATTCAGCAACAAATTCAAGCAGCCACTAGAAGTCCCTTCATCTCCTGTGGAACTGAGTGACCAGAAAAACTGTGTGGAGGGTGTCCAAGTGTTCAGGTTGAGAAATGTTGGCCACAGTGCAATGGTCATTATCAGTCAACAGCCAGTCACAGTTCAGCCTTCTTGTGTGGCTGCTGGGGCTACTTTGTTTACTGAACAAAAGTGTAAAATGGATGAGAAGTTAATTACACCAATTTGCTCTCTGTGTCTCTACTTTGATTTGAAAGTCCAAAAAAATAAAGCTACACACAAGTTGCATCTGCCCATGCTGGGGTCAGTGTATAAAAATGTTTCTGTCTCTTTTCTGACTTTCAGCCAATGCATGCTGGGACAGGCTCTAACAACCACAATGTTTGCCTTCTCAACCCAAATATTGATTCACCACTTGCTGAATGGAGGAGATTTCCCATCAGTGTCCACACAAACAGCATTATTTGATCTGGGGAGACAGCGTGAATCTACGGAGTGTATTTATGGCGCATCAACATATACACAATAAGCAGAACAGTACTTTACAAAGCAAGACAGCAGAACAAAAATTAACACTGCAAATTAGGGTTATGAAGAAAAAAACTATTCCCAGTACTCAAAAGTGTGAAATGATTCATGTTGTTCACACAACCATCACCATTACCCCAGCAGGGAATGCTGGCAAGGAGCGGCCCTGAAATGGTTGCCAGAACTGGAGCTGGGTAAGTGAAAGTTGTCTGTATGTAAATATCTGGACAGCTTTTTTTGGCTCCATAGTCAATCACATTGGACTTGTAATGAAACAATGACTATACGGTTTAAGTGTTGACTTTTAGGTTTAATTGGACAGTATTTACAAAGCCCTTTTTACACATTTGTATACCTTAAATAGGCTTGAATGCAGACAGAAGCTGCTCTGTTGCATGTTGTAGTGTGACAAAAAGCAGAGTGTCATCAACATAGCAGCAGAGAGGAATATTATGTCTGCAGATAATATAACCTAAATGAATAATATCAATAGAAAATAATGGATATTGGACACAATATCAACCCTCTAGACAACATTTTTTCAAGCTGGATCCTCGTCTGTGATTGGGAGGTGTAAAGACAGGTTCCTATGGTAACTATAAGGTTAAAGTAAAAGCTCTAAGATAGCTCTCTGCTTTTTTGTTTCAGCCACATTTTGTGATGAGCTATAAGCTAACTGGTTTCACATAAAAATCTTCAAAAATGCAGCTGTCATACCTTCACAGACATGAGTATTACAGAGTGCCTCTTCAGTGTGCAGGCCTATACAGATGTCTCCTCCACTAGCAGGGGGTGGATTACTGCACGTCCGAGTCCGCTGGTAGTGTCCGCCCCCACAGCTGGCCGAGCACTGGGACCAGGATGACCAGCAAGACCAGGCTCCACTTACTGGAACACACACAATAAACTTTAATAACCTAATGTACATATTCTGCTTTTACTAAACTAACAGCCAGAGCCTCCCTGTTACCTGGGCAGGGTGTAATGTTGCAGTCCTGATACTCCACTGGGGATCCCACACAGGCGCTGGGGTTGGTCCTGCCCTCGGCTGACGAGCAGCTACGTTTCCGGGTTCGGAAGCCTCTGGAACACTGCTGAGAACAGCTGGACCATGTTTCCCACAGTCCCCAGCGCACACCTTGGGGCTGGGACAGAGTTCGCCCACTAGTCTTCACCAAGTCTTCAACCAGAGCTGGAAATACACAGAAAACACTTTTTATTTGCCTCATTAGAAATGCATTTAAAATGCACCATAAATAGTGTTTTTTCAGTTCCTTTCACATGATAAGCAATGCGCCAGAGCAGGGAGAAAGAAAACAGAAAGACTTAAACAACTTTCACTCAGAGAAAAGAGTGAAAGTTGATGCCTTTTGATCCGCCCTGCTGAATGAGAGAATTGCTCAGAAAATCTAAAGTTCTGAATGAGTTGAGTTCAAACAAGAACCGCAGGATTTTATCTTAACTCAGCAGACAGACAGCCTGTTATGAAACATTAATTAGTGAGGTGTAATGTGGGTCACATTGAAAAATGAAGCAGTTTTCCCCATACACCCGCCACACACACATAGGCATCCACAATCACAAATAATTTACATATGAATGAGGTGCACTTCCTGAGGCTTTCAACGAGGCCAGCTGAAATATTTCAGGTTTTTTTTCTGTAGACAAGAGGACAAGAGCAGCTACAAAACATGAGATGGAACAATACAGTGACATTTTCACCTTGTCAGCTTTACTTATTTTGGATTAAATACCTAAACTGACTTTTTTGTATAAGACAGATTCCATGAAGGGAAAGGAAAAGCCTGTCTCTGAGGGATGGAGGAAGTGGACATGTGCTTCCCTATGACGCTTCAATGATGTTTAATCAATCTGCTGATTGATGTCTACATACAGTTTGGCTACATCTTACTTTTGAATAGACCAGCTGTGTTTATTGTGGCAAACTGGGAGCTCCGCCACCAGCAGCACTTTTAAAGCCCAATCAGATACAGTTCCTCTCAGCAGTTTCTACAGCTACAGTATGTGAGACTATAGAGCTAGACCAGGCTTTGCTTTGTTTTTAGACTGGTCCGACTAATTTAAACCTAAAATTTGCCACCCTGTCCACACGTTAAAGGGGCAGTTCACCCTAAATTTTAAAAAAATACATATTTTTCAACTTACCTGTAGTGCTATTTATTTAAGATTGTCTCTTTCCAGAAATCATAACCCAGTTACTCAAGAAAATTTTACCTTATCGTGAGCAGTTTTAGCAAGAACTATGTTCTTTCTGCTGAACTACACCCGCCATCTATAGCTGAACGTTAGCTATCTCCGTGGTGCAACAGAGCTAGCTCACGTTACAGCTCAGCCGATGAGCACGGCATTGAGGCTCCCATCAGCATGAACCCCATGGCCATGCGTAGATGCACGCTTCCTTCTGTGCTGTGATACGCGGTCTGTGGAGTATCTTGAGTAACCGTATCATCATTTCTGCAAGGAGACATTGTTGTTGAGTTTCTCAAATGTATTTTTTTGGCACTTTGAGAACCACAAGCTGGGTGCCACCTGGTCCCATTATGTTGGGGAGAAGGCAGACTCTTTGGCCGACATCTCCAAAACTCTGCAACTCACACCAAAACAATCCAGCCAGATTAAATAGCAGGTAAGAGGAAAAATATGTATTTTTTAGTTTGTCTTTTTAAGGTGGCATCTGGTTATACCTGCAGTTTGGTAGGTAATTACCATACCAGCTGTGTTTCCATGGTAACAATCAAGAACACCTGCTGGAAACTGACAAAAGAGGAAAGCATGGCTACACTTGTAATTTGCTAACAACACTGCAGAGCAAGAAGTTGGAAGGGAAAGAGTTGTCAAGCTTTCCTGTTCATTCCCAGTACTCACAGTCAGTCTGGCAGGCTCCAGACCCGTCATTGGGGCAGAACCGGGTCTCCGCCTTCTTCTTGCCCAGCTGGAGCTGCTGGGGGTCGGGGAGCAGCGCCCGGCAGGTGTACCTGAATCTCTGCTCTTGCCTTGACCCATCTTGACTAACGTTGACCGGCATCCAGGGGGTCCAGGGGGTGTTGCGGCGAACCTCAGGGCAGGCCTCCAGGTTACAGGCCTTATACTCCTGAAAAACAAGATGGAGGAAACGTTTTACCATTAATGCAGAAGTCTAAACCTAGTTACTGCTGTCTGTTCTCCCAAAGCTTTAGGACCCCACTGTTTCAGTAATTCATTATGAACAGCTTGCAGAGACAGACTGCAACCTTAATACAGACTGCTAAACAGCACAAATATTACAGTTCTTTCTGGAGGGACTTTATTATGCAGCTAATTACTGTGTTTAATGGAACTGTTTAAACTCCTCTGGTGGCTGTGAAGAGGCAAAGCTTAAGATGGCATGGAAAGCTGCAGCTGGAGAAACACAATGATGCCTTTAGTCAGTTCTAAAGCAGTTGCTGAATCACTGAAAAGCAGCACTGATTGTGTGTGGGAAGACGGTGAGGGATCATGTCATATTTACAGCCCTAGAAACAACTATAGAACTTATTGCCCAGGGATTCTTGCAGGGCTGTACCCAACTCAGAATTCAATATGAAGATTTGACTCGACAGTCAGAGAAAGTAAAAGTGTGTGTCCTGCTCATATATAAAATCACATTTGACGCAGCTAAAAAATAAAAGTGCAGAAATTTGACTGACAAAACGACTCTGGGTGCTTTTGACTGAAGACTAAAATCACTGACTTTTAGGAGGGCAGCCCCAGCCCAGAAACCATAAACCTGTGCATTACACCTTCTCTTTTTGGCTGCTCACCAGCAGGTTAAAAGAAGCAGCCCAGGTCAACAGAAATAGCTGACAGGGCCAAGGAGGCATGGCACAAAATAACTGGTCATAAAAATTGGAGACAAAAAAGTCCCATGGGGATTAATCTTTGATTTTAATAACCCAATAATCCAGTATCCAACAAGTAAAGCCTCAAGCAATTCCAAATATAAATGATAAATAACTGGGTTCAATTGAACAAATTCTGTTAAAACTCTATTATCTCCTGCGGTCTGGTACTGCCTGCCCAGAGGGTCTGAATCAGTGACATCTTTTAAATCACTTGTCAAAACAGAACTTTTCAAAAAAAGTATTTTATTTAGTCTAGCACACCGTTTTATTACCGACATGTCTCATCTATTTTATAATTATTTTCATCATTATTGTATTTTTATCCTATATAGTATTAGTATTTCATTGTTTTAATTTTAATTTATGTGCCTCAGCGCAGTTGATTTGCAACATGTTTTATCTGTTTTATTGTTAGTATTTATCTGTACTGTTAGGGGTCTATTTATTCCACCTCACTTCTGTAGCATCTTAATTGTCTGATTTTATTTAGCCTCACTGCCTCCTTAATTGTTTTAAATCTTGGTTCCAACCATGTAAAGCACTTTAAAAAGTGCTGTATAAATAAAGTATTTATCATGTTTGAAAAGACCATGACTTTTTGGCATTGACTGTATGATCAACCAGGAACAGAATAAAATCATTTTTTTTTTTAAATATACAAGCACTACAGTACCGTGGAACATCCAGGACAGCTGTTGCCATTCTCACAAACTCTGGTCCTGGAGTGGACGCCCCCTCCACATTCAGCACTGCAGTGAGCCCAGGGACCCCACGCCGTCCACAACACTGGCAGAGGACAGGGCTTCTTTTCATTGCACAGCCTGGAAACACAGACACAGAGTCATCCCTATCCAAAATATGTTAACTCTATCATGTAGCACTAATGGTTGGCTAGCCATACTGAGGATGTTTTTATATTGCTCTTGGTGCGAAAACTGATCTCACCTCTCCTCTCGACCCTGGCCAACACAGATTCGACCACCGTGGCGTGGCGAAGGGTTGTTGCAGGACCGCTGCCGCACTTCAAATCCGATACCGCAGCTGCTGCTGCACTGGCCCCATGAAGACCAGGGAGTCCAGCCGCCATTCCTGAGCAACAGAACGCAGGATGGGAATTCAAAGTCAGTCAAAGTCAGCTTTATTGTCAGAAGGCAGGAAGGTTGGGTGGGTGGGTGGGAGGGGGGGCTTTCTGACAGCCTGGAGGATGTGCCTCGGGGGACAGAGGGGAGAGAATTTAGCTTCCTGACAGCTTGGTGGATGAAGCTTTTTGTGAGTCTGGTGGAGCGGGCACAGAGGCTCCAATACCTTCTTCCAGACGGCAGGAGGGTGAACAGACTGTGTGCGGGGTGGCTGGCGTCGCTCACAACCGAGATAGCTTTACGGGTGAGGTGGGTGATGTAAGTGTCTTGGAAGGAAGGGAGTGGTGCACCAATGATCTTACCAGCTGTGTTAACTACGCGTTTGTCAATTGTCAATCGTATTACGCGTGCAGTGGGAATCCATATGCCTCCACTCTCATCAACCTTGTTTCCGGCACCAGAAGTTGTTAGCTGCTGCTAAATGTTAATTTTGAAGATGGTGAAAAGATAAAAGCGACATCTCACCACGTCCTAAGTTAGATAAACATTAGCTAACTAGCCAAATAACAGTTGATGTAAATTGTCTACCTAGTTAGCTAGTGTTCTGCATCATCCTGTGCAACATTATCTTTCAGATGTAACTGCCTAAGTTAGCTAACAACCGCCAACCCCAACCCTACTTGTGTTTGTTTCTGTTGCAAAACTAACTTAAGATGTGACTACATATTTGTCGCTTTTATCTTTTCACTATCTTTAAAATTTGGTTTTCCTTTCAAAATAGACAAGTGTAGCACATGGCATATCTAAGTACAGGAAAGAAAGAAAGTTCTGACCAAGGCTTGCTCAACTGTTATTGGAGCACAGAGCAAAAAGGGGCGGGACTTAGGGCGGGTCAATACTGGTACATTGCGACAGCGCTACTTAAAGGGACTTTACCTGGAACAGTTTGCCACCTGGATAGTTGAGCCCTTACATCCGACCCCACCACATCGGGCCACAGGTCCGTCGCACGAGCGGGACCGACACACACAGCTGCTGACAGAGCCCTCGCCGTCATCATGGTTACAAGGTTGCCATGGCGCCCAAGGACCAAACCCGCCATCCTGTGTCAGGTTCCTCACCTCCAGAGGGGATTTAAGTGGGGCTTAAAATCCATGCCAAATGCACATGAATAAGTCACATGTGCCTAAATGCACTATTCTGGTCTAAATCTATAGCTTGGTGCCCTAAAAACTGTCCGAATTGGTGTATCACAAAAATATTACCATAACATTATTACTTAATGTACAGCTGTGGAAGATTTTAGACATTTCTCACAGAGGAACTCATGAGCTCTTGATAAATGAAAGCATTTAAATACATTGTATATATAAGTCCAGTACTCCAGGCTAACTGCATGTGTGTGTCTTACTGGGCACTCAGTGACGTTTTGGGTCCACTGGTTCATGTTGGAGCTCTCCTCGATGGTGGTGCAGCGCTTCTGTTTGTGATCCCAGCCACAGTACGGGTCCCGAGCTTCCATGCAGTGACTGGTAAGAGTGCACACATTTAGTCAGTAATTGTTGCAGTTGCAGAATTATGAAGTCTCTCTGCAACAGAGCCTGTGACTATTAGTCTGCACATTTCTACAGTCTATAGTCAGCAAGATGTATTAATTAATAACTTTTCCCTGTATTAAAGGACTCTGATTATGTTTCCAGTAGGAGGGCTAGAGGGCCTAATACTGAGAAACTTCTGTCCATCATACAATATTTTGTAAGGTTGTCAACATATTCTGGTACTGCATTTATTGTACTCATTAAATGCCTGGGTCTTGCCAGAATATGGACTGACAGTTGCAAATGCACTTTGTTTACAGGGAAAATAAACGGGGCTCTTAACATAATCATCTTTGTCAGCATTTAATGTGGGCGTTTTAGACTTGGCCACCCACGCGTGTTTGTCTCTTTAATGGCACCAAGTTCATAAATCTTTTTAAGTATTTGCAAGTTGAGTTGGTAAATTTGCACACTCACCACCAGCAGCAGCAAACCTACAAAGCAGGCTCACTGTTGCCTGTTTGCACCGTGGGTCCGAGAGGACTGAAATTTCATCTGTGCTGTATGTCGTGCATGTATAGCATATTTGACAAATAAAAAGCTGACTTGACTTGACACTGCAACTTTTACTTAATGGCTGACTGCAGATATTTGATTTTTATTATTTTATTCCTACGTCACTGATTATATATCATAAGTTTCATTGTGATCAATTATAAAATGAGTCAAACTCTATAATTCTGCTACTCATTATCTGAAAAACACCATATCTGACATTGCTGTTTTGAGGTTCTGTTGGATCATACCGTTCAGTAGGGTAGCTGGAGCAGCGCTCTAGGGGGATCTTTACCAGTCTATCATCAAGCCCAACAAACAAAGATCTGTCACTGTGCAGGATTTGCAGGCTCTTGATTGGTCCGATTTGCCCTTCTGGGAGGATCCTGAGCTCTTCCAGGTAGCAGCCGTGAAGGCTTTTATTGGTTGTTGAGAGAGCTTTCAGGATGGTGCCGTATTCTGATTGGATGAGATGAATATGGAGAAAAGTTCTGAAAATGATCTAGTGCACTGTATAATTGACATCAATAAAGGAGATCAAAATAAGCCAGAAGACCCCGTTGCTGCAGATAAAAAGGTGACAAACTATCTGTATCTAATTTTAAATAAGCCTTCTGACTCTTTTTTCTTTTTAAAGTCTGCTCCAGCCCTCTCCCCTCCTGCTCACCAGTGCCGATGTACATGACATGGTAGAGGGTGTCTCGGCCCTGCACGATGTCCACGACCAACTTGGAGAAGCGCAGGTTGTCCTGGGTGAGCAGAGGGTTGACGGTGACTGGCTGGACCACATCATTCATGAGGAAGAGTCGCTGGGCGTCCTGGAGGCTGCGCTCTGTCAGGTTCCCCCCGGGGCCTCCCTCCTCCAGTGTGCCACACTGCAGCCAGGAAGGAGAGATTAGTGTTCAGGATGTAGACTGAGGGGGGGTTTCAGACATGTTTTCTGAGTCTGCAGGTGTCTTTTCAACAGAAGACATTTAACTTATCAATTGCTGGTGTAACAAACAACATTAGTGGGTATATTTCAAGTAGATGTATCAGTGCCAGGGCATTGGTTTTATGCATGCTAGCTTACCTGCCAGTTACTGACAGTGTAAGTATATGTAAATAAATTCAAATCTGAAATTGAAAACTACAAAACTATTGCATATATAAAGCAGAGATAGCTACGACACCCGGATATCCCTGCAGCCCAATTTGAATGTTTTATATATGCATTGGCAAAACTTGGCATGCTCTTATTGTTGGAGGTATATTTGATGCAGCTGAACTAGAATTTTCTGTGTGCTGTACAGCAATAAGATATCTCTGTACTCGACACACCGAGATGAAATGGATGTCAGTCTTTTGAAAACTTGGACTAGGAAATTGAGGAAGGACAAAACTATCTGTTTAACATTCCCACATCAATCCACACCATCGTGTCAGAGAAAAAAACAGCTAGGTGGATGGAATCTTTTTCAAAATATGTGAATTACCTGAAAATTGGGTATGGGGTTCGGGGTGGAGAGCCAGGCAGTGCGGGGGTTCTCCTGGTAGCGAAAGGGTCCATTGAAGGCCTGGGTGATGGAGCTCAGATTGAAGGCACAGACAGCAGAAGCTGATATACTGTTCCTGAAGAAAGGGAGGGCGTAATCACAGTCAGATCTCAGCAATTGGGAGAGAAAGAAGGCAAGAATGACAGAAATAGAGTGTCTTATAATCTCAGTTATCAACAAAATGAAAGAAATCTATTGGTTTCAAATATTTACTGGCAGTTTGATATAGTCTGTCATCTTCTCATAGACAGTTGGGAGCTTCCCAGTCTATAAGCGCCTCATAACCAAACCCGTATGTGAGTGGAACTAGGAGTGTGAATTGGTTTTATGCATTTTTTCAAACTTTTTGGAGCTGGTTTTAGCTGTGTATGAATGTGGTAATACCAGAGGTGTACAAGTAAGTCTTTGCAGTCCTAAACTTTGAGTTTCAAATCTTTAACAGGTCATATTGCAGTCTTCACCAAATGAGATTACCATTTTGACAACCTAATGATCAAAATGAAATGATCTTTGGTTTGATTTTTCCACCTGGTGCTTAGTAACGGAATGTTAGTTCTTCAAGGTTCTCTCTTGCAACTTGATTGGATACTGATGGATTGGTTCAAACAAAGTCGATCTGGGGAATAATGGTGACCCCCGAAAATTGTGTTAAAGCTGTCGAACACACAGTACTGTCCAACTTCTGTCTGTAATAACGCGTAATGCATTGTTATCAACTGGTATTGTGAATAATGGCTAACCTGGCTAAAGCTTGGTTTTCTGACTTGTACTGGAACATTATCAACTCGGGTGGGATGTCATTCCCAGCACCAACTTCGAACTTCCGAGGAAAATGGAATGTAGCATTAGTGTCAACTTGCTAACAGAGCAGGAATTTGTGGCGCACTTTTTAAATACTTACTTTTTAATCTTTGGGCTTCGGGGAAGGTATCAAGTATTTTCAGGACAAAAGGCTCAAGTCCAAGTGAAGTGTCACCGGTGTTGTCCAAGTCTTTTTTGATTTTGTCAAGTCGAGTCTAAAATCATCAAATCTGTGATTCAAGTCCAATTCATGTGACTCGCGTCCACACCTCTGAGTAATGTGATGTTTGAAATGATGCACCTTGCAAGAATAAAATACCTTCTTGAAACAGTAACACTACTGGCTGTTGGTATGTTCAGTAAAAACATATCAGCATGAGCCTTTACACAGCTTTATCAGTTATATATATACATAAAGAGAGGAAGAGTCATGCTATAGATGAACATCACTCACACATTAGTGGTGAAGATGCCATAGATCAGGTCCTGCTCTGGTAGGTAAAAGGTGCTCTGCAGCTCGTTGTAGTAAAAGGGGATTTCTCCTGAGCGTGAGCAGTTGAGTCGGGCCTTCATGAAGGTGGTCCACGTGTCCTCCAGAAGGAAGCGTCCGCCCATGTCGTTCTTACAGACCCGCGCTACACGAGAGAACACCATCTTCCCACAGTCGTTTTCCACTGCAGTTTCTCTCAGGAAGAAGTAGGCAAACCGGCCGATCTCATAAACAGACACGAAATGAGGCTCTGAAACACACATGAAAGGAGAAAAGATATTGAAGGTATGAAATCCACAGACAGGGATGGGGATCGATACGAGGCTGACAAAGAGGCAAATCAATGTGGGGCTTTGTTTACCGTTGAGCCATTTGGAGTTGTACTGGGCGGTGCGCAGGGGCGGCATGTTCCCCAGGCTCCTGTAGATGACGGGGTCGCGTCCGGAGAAGTCGATCACCGTGGCGGCATACAGCTCTCCCCTCTCCGTTACCATGGCGGTGGAGTTGTGCCGAGGGTCATAGGGACATCGGGCGACACCGTTCACTGTGTCCAACACCTGACTGATGTTATCAACCTGACGGGAAGTGTAAACAGGCGTAAACACAAACAAATTCACAACAAACAAACAACTAATTAGAGGGAAAAAGCAATCTTCTGCTTTTGTTGTAGTTTGCACTGTGAGTTGCAAATTGCAAACATTTTGAATAAATAATTACATTCATTTAAAACTTTTAATTAATTTGTCAGGACAGAACGATGCAACCCTGAGCTACTACAATTTCCTAAATGCACAAAGCTGATGCAAAAATGTTCAACCCAGAAAGCACAGATGAATTCATTCTAGAGGGGTGATGGGTGTCTTCAAAAGAATCAATGTTATTTATATGAACACTTTTCAGGATCATAAAGCCGACAAACGCAATAATTTATTAGCTACATTGCAAAGAAGAGCCTCCTTTCTAGAGGTGAAAGAATTGGTTAATGAATCGATGATTGATCAGTAGAAAATCAATCATTAAATGAAGTTCTTTATTGAGCACAAATGTTTTGTTTTTGCTGGTTTATCTTTTTAATGTGAGGACTTTTCTTTGTTTTTTATCATGTAAATGACAAATTCAACTGTTTGCACAACACAAGAAATGTCACCCTTGGATCTGATCAAATCTGTATTTTTAACTATTTTCTGACACTCCTTTTATTTTGAAAGAAAGAATCCTAGAGAGCTTTTTAAAGACGATGCCAGCATTTTTGTGTGTTTAAGCCCATTTAATATAATTTACATATACTTTGCATTTAGATTGACAATTTAAATGTAAAGTGAACCAAAGTGTTAAAAATTGCAGAATGTGTTTTTTTTCACCTCCAAGCAGCAACTGGTTTGCATTCATCTGATTACAGTACAAAAACTCACTTGCAAAGGCTTTAGATTTGCTTGACTAATTGAGGCAACCTATTTTAATGGTGGATGATTCTGCTGGCTCTAGCTGCTCATTTGCTTCCTCACATCTCGTGATAAACTGTTGTACCAACCTGCCTGGTTATGCAGACGGGGGTGAAAGCATTGGTCCCGCACGTGAAGAGCCTCCTCCCGCTTATCAACAAAACCCGGATGTAGTTCTGACACTCCTCCTGCAGACAAACATGGCATTAATAAAGTGAACAGCCATTTCAGCCATAATGTATTGTATTTGTCACTGAGCGCTCTACCTCAGACTTCCCCTTGCTTTGACATGAGCGCTTTGTTTCTTCATCTGGGGCCCAGTCTGTCGCCTGGGGAACAAATATGAAATCATTTGGTTTTAGAGAATTTGGTTGATTTACAACGAAATTACCATTAACAGCATCTCAGCACAGACAGGAGGTTAAGTAACTGCAATTAATGCAACAAATCATAGAGCACACATGGAACATTCATGTAAAGTTTAAAGGAATAGTACAAAATCTGGGGATTTTGTTCCTGAGAGTTAGATGAGAATACACTAAGTAACACATTATATTGTATGTGTTTAATCCATAAACAACAAAGTGTGTGAATAGTCCAGCACAACAAAATGACATGGTGTCGTCTTTACATTTTGGATGTGATGTATTAATTAGAGAGCTTTACAGATGCAGAGATGTTACATTTGGATAGACTAGCTGTTTCCCCCTGCCTTCCAGTCCTTACGCTAAACTAAGCTAACCAGCTACTGGCTCCAGCTTTATATTTAGCATACAGACATGACAGGTGGCATTCATTTTCTCATTCTTAAGTCACAGCAATATCAGCAAATAAACAAACAACAAAACACTAATTATATGGGAGCCAAAAACACACATAGAAGCAGAGATAGTATTATTCATTTTTATTCATTTTAGATAAAATATTACTAGTATGAAAGAAAACTGAACTAAACTAAACTGAAAGGGCTCTGTCTAACACAGGCTCTTATCTTGGTTAATGTTACCTGTATGAGCGAGGCGTTGCTCAAACTCAGTCTGAAGAGGAAGTTTCTGTAAAAGACATTTTTCATGTTAGGGGTAAAGCAGCAGAAGCACGCACACTAAAGAGGCTTTAATATGTTCTGAATCTTGCTCTTGGTGTATTATGTTTCTTTTTTCTTTCTTTAACACTGTATATTGACAGCACATGTTGAGTGGACGTAGATATTTTTCACCTTGCCCCCACAACGAGCTGTTTTCTGCTCAGGTCCAGGGCCAGCTGGGAGAAATCCTTCACTCCTGGATGGGAGAACTCTGACACCCATGGCCTCAACGCTGGAGGGAGAAAGAACAAGAGGATGAGGAGACAAAGTAGTGCAAAAAGGAAGGAAGAGTACAAGGATGAGTGGAGAAATAGAGGAAGAAAGCAGGAGGGTGAGAGGAGGAGGAATGTTATTAAGATCCACTGTTTGTGTGGGAATCCTACTCCACCAAATGGTACCTGGCTCACAACTCCAGCCCCGGTTAAACCCTTTTTACTGCTGTGTCACATTTCTCTCCAGTGAGTCACCTTATCCCACAGTGACAGCTCCACAACCTCCCAGCAGCGTTTCCACCTTATGCCAGAATGGAGGCTCAGTCCAGGGCTCAAAACTTCACAGAACATGAATGTAGATTTGGTTTTTAAAGTTGGGGGCCACAACTAAGAAGAATGAGGAGGTCTGCCCGTGGTCGAATGAAAGATTAATGAATGAATAATACATCCATTACATACAGCACTTTGTTTTCTATTTTCCTATTCTGCAGGGTTGTATTAGAGCTCAAATTCTACTTTAACACCATATTTGTTCAAATTTGTCCAGTGAAGAAATCCCAGGTGTAGATAAATGGATGTTAGCCACACCACGCCTGTCAATCATACACCAAAATATACCTCTCTTGAAATGAAATGCCATATCAAATTTATAGTCATTAAACCCGTAGAGAACACCAAAAATGTAAAACATAAAAGAGTAGCAGACATGCAAATTTTCCCAAAATGCACTGGCACTTTTCTATAACAGACTAGACACAACCCCTTGAATGACTTTAAACTTAGCTGCACAATTTGAGACGAAAGTTTCTTGTGAAATACTGCTGCTAAGTTAAAGCAATAGTCATAAACATTCTGGAAGATAGATTCCAACTCTTATATGTCCATCAAATATAAGACTACATAAAGCAGCGTGTTTGCCAGGGTGTAGGATTTAGTGGCATCTAGAGGTGACTCTGCAGATTGTAACTAACTGAATACCTCTCACTTTCCAAGTGTGTAGCAGCTGCACACGGTTGATGTGCAGCTTGCAAAAAACACAAAAGGCCCTATCTAGAGTGTTTGGTTTGTCCTTTCTGGGCTACTGTAGAAATATTGCAGTTCAACATGGCGGCCTCCGTGGAAGATAACCCACTCCCTCTTAAAAAGGAGACGAAAACACGATTTTTCTGCCAATAGATCCTCCTAAATGTTCCACACTGGACCTTTAAAGCTAGGGTAGGGAATGTATTTCAGAAGCATTTTTTGTTATATTTGTTGAAATTCTCCTGACATCCAGACAAAAATCAATAAATGAAATAGTCTGGGGAAAAAAAGAGAAAGAAATCTGGTATCTGCAGCAGCCACAGGCCTGTAATAAACCCAGACAATCATTTTATTCAGAACGAATGAGAGCTGGCAGCACAAACACAAGGCTGACCACGAGAGCAAAAGTCTCTAGCAGAGGAAACTGTAAATAAATATTATCAAAAAGTTTTACTCTTGAGATGACGCTGTTTTGCTTCACTGAGTTGTTTTCTCTTCTACTCTCTTCAGCCTCTTATTTTTGTTTGGTATTTAACTCCCCTAAGGAACTTTTATTTTGTATTGATTCTGGTGACCCCTGTGGGGAAAAAGCTGTAGTGTTTCTACTGCCTCCTTTTATTGATTTCAAGGGGAATCCAATTGAATCCGACCTGGAGGTAGAATAATTATATAAAAATGATATATAAAAAATAATAATATATACATTTCCTAACCAATTAAAAACTCCTTGTAGTACGTTTAAGAGATTTTGTCTGATTATATTGACACAAGTTTGCTTCCATAGACACTCACCTTGGTAGGAGACAACAGGATGTTCCTTTCTGCTACAGTCTGCTGGTTTGATGTGAGGCTGCTGGGACAGACACACAGATGAACAGATGACCAGCACAAGGCCACAGGGGGAGAGGGCCCACGCCCCCAACCCTGACGTAACCATAGTTACAACCACATCCAGTCTTCTACACGGTCCTCAGAAAACACCTGTTGGGACGAAGGAAACATCTGTCAATATAAGCACAAACATGACCATGATAAAAAAAAGTTTAACCAAAACATCTGTACACTTTGACAATCCTTATACATAAACTCACACACCCTTCCCTGCTCTCTGTCTGTATGTCCATCCATCTAAATCAGTTCTGCCAGTCCCCCCCCCAGCCCAGCGTCCCTTTGCTGGCTCTGTCTGTCTGCTCTGGTTGTCCAGCCCCTCGCTGTCAGCAGGACTTGGTCATGGCTAATTCACCTCAAAAGGCCAGAGCCGCCAATCTCCCTAATGCCGACTCTCAAACCGAGGGTGCCATCAACAGAGATCTCTATGACTGAGGAGACCCATTCAAAGACGAGCTTGGACCCAGAACCAAACAGAGGGTGCGAACTTTGAGCTGTGAGCCACATGAAGGGTCTTTGTGTCAACATCAAAATTTATTTACGTACATCAAATCCACTCAGCGATGATAATCTGAAGATGATGACCATAGGCGCTGGGATATATTGTTTTTCCACCAAATTAGCTCTGGTTCTTGAACCATTCAAATCCATTCCAAATCCGTGGAACCTTGGTGCTAGCAAGTGAACCAGTCCGCGTTTCCACCAGTTTTAAGCAGAACCATTATAATCAAGGATGAGTCATCAACAGAGGGCGCTGCACAATGCATAGCAGTTGAAGTGGTGAAAGGGTCTGAAGTGTCAGTTGAAGTGTAAAAGCTAAAAGCATCTGAAATCAGCATTTGAAATTACAGATTTATGTGCTGACTCAAGTGATGTCACCTGAGTCAGCATAGGTTGGAGCTTATGACAACAATTTTGAAAATGATAAACTCTGTAGCCCTCCATACACACCCAAAACTCTGACCGAACTGTTGGGTGGTTGAGTGTTGCATTGTGGGTAGGTGGTGCCAGGTTTTGACAAGGAAGAGGGTAGTATGGAATGAAAAAAGACGGTATCTTTGGTTGTGATGGTGTAAAAATATTTTGGCAAAAACAAATAGCAAAATCTTTCATTTGCTCAAAAAATGAGTGAACTCCAGTTGAGCAGATTGGTTAAACTTCTCCCATTCCCATCCCACTTTACTTTAACGCTTAAACCAGTTTCATTGCAGCTGCTACGTGCTCTGGAGAATGGAAGCGGTGAATGTCTGTCTGTCCACAGCTCACCAGGAGGACTGAATGTGTGTGGAGGCAGAGGTTTTTCCAACCTGCTGGGTCTAACATTGCTGCTTAATGAAGCGACAGGAACAGGGCCTCCACCGCTGGGTCGCTTTTGTTATGTGGCAATGCTCCTCTCACCGTGCAAAGGCTGGCCAGTGAGAGGGCTATAGTGTTCTGGGATTTGTCTATTCAGTGCGAGGAGGGGGGGCAGCAGCAGACGTCAGTCAGATTCTTCAGGGGCACTAGGAAATGTACGAACGCAGAGTCTCACTCGGATCAGCCTTGGCCTAAGACGAAGACTGCATGTTCGTCAGTGCCCTCCTAACGACCCACATGACCATAGATAAACGATTCATAGGAGCATTCTCAGATCTGCTACCTCTGTTAAGGGTTGGTTAAAGCTTATACATGTGAGATTTAAAACATTAATATAGCAGCGAACAGCTATTAGCTATGTAAAGATATAGTGGAGTCATGGTGTCCTGAGCAGAGAATGACGTCACACTCCCTCTGCCTGTGTTGCTATCGCAGCCTCTCTGTGCTTTGTTTACAAATCCAGTCTGGCTTGTGTGTGCATGTTCGTGGTTAGTTGGTGATTGCTGGAACAGTGGAAAGATAAACAAAGATGGTTTTGGTGAGTTTTATTTAGTTTCTTTGTATGAAGTTACGATGACATGCCAGGTAAAAATACTGTTTTTGTCTATTGAGTGTGGTGGCAAGCAATAACAAAAAACTATTTCTGGATTAACAAAAGATCTATCTCAGTAGGGATCCTTTCCATAAAGTTGTCAGACACTTACAATAAAAAGTCTGAACCTGTCAGTGTCTCATCTAACTTGGTGAATTAAGATTGTTGGAAAAATAGTAGAAATACTAATAAAGACGTTTTTGGAGTTTTGTTTCATGTCTGTGCAGTTTGAAGCATGTTTTACGATTGTCTGTAAAATGACTGGTTTTGTCAATGGAGTCTGGTCAGCCATGGTGTCCATTGTTTTGGTCTGAGATGCTGATGCTCTAGTGTGACATCTAGTGGCAAGTATGAATGATTTTAAAGTTTCAATTAAAACTTCTTTGTTCAGGTTAGGAAAAGATTGTTGTCATGGTTAAAAGTAGAAAATTGCTGTTGACTAATTTTCTCTTGATTGACGAACTAATTGCAACAGCACAAGAGGTCAAATACACACCTAAAGTCGGTGAAGTGGTCAGATCACAGTCTTCAGTGAGTTTTGAGGACATTTGGATCAGCCAAAAACACACTTCACTGTCAGGTGTAAACAGTCAGATGTCAGATATTTTAAATTTGGGAGGAAACCAGCGTTGACTGAACAGTAGGAAGTAAAGGTGGGCAAACATTCAAGCCTGTTTTCCTGGAGCCGTGAGCGTGTCAGAACATCCATTCATTCGTGTAGCTGCCTGCGTTGGAAAAACACCATAAAGCCTTAACAACCTGTGAAGAGATTAGAAATACAGACTCTCCGATTCATGTGACCTGTACGTGTTTAGAGTGTGGGAGGAAAACCACAGGAACACGGAGAGAACATGTGACCTCCACATTGGGTGGAAGACTGCCAAAATTTTAACCCTTTTGCTGCTCTGAGTTCACCTCTGAGCCACCATAGCACATAAAGTTTAAGACATGGCTTCATTGTATCAATAAATCAAAATATGACTACATATGCCTAGACTTTATCTTCTAGCATCTACTGCAGATCTGCTTGCCCTGTGTTTGCTCTCCAGACTAATCTCTGTGCTTCAGCCTGTCATTCCTCTGTCAGAGAGTTCACTCAAACATCACGAGGAGTCCTTTACCTCGCTCTGAGGAAACACAGACTTTGGATAACTAAGGTGCTGCTGTGTCTCACAGGCCAGTGTGCTCCAACCTAAACACTTCATTTTCCGACAGAAACAAAATCAACACAGAGCACAAAGGTTAACTTGTTCAACAGTTATGAAAGTAAAACCTTAATTTTTTTATTAATTTCACACATATCCTGTGTTTGCAATCGTGCATAATAAATTACCGCTATCATCATGGCATATATATATAATGATAAGCCTATTAATGCAAGTAAACCCTTTCAAAGAGATTAATTTGAACTCTTACGAATATTCAATTGGACTATGAAATGAAATATTCTTGGTAAAAAAAACATAAATAAAAACTACAGAAACAAAATAATAAATAAAATGGGCTCAACACAAGTTACACTTACACAAATATTAAGCATTTGGCACAGGGGTAGGCTATAGAGCCATTCATTCCTTAACAGGCAATATAGTAATGGTTGGGGAAAAGCTGCTGTTTCTGGCAACATGTTGGGGACATTCTTGAACGATCAGTCAATACTGTGACAGGTGATAATTACATATCGCGTATATATGGTACAATAAGTCTAAACGTATTTATTGTGACAGGATTCAAGCTTTCATGACCCAAAAATTAGATTTTAGAGGATGTTAACACCACTCTTCTCTGCCTCTCAACACTGGACTGAGTGTGTGTATACCTAACAAAATGTCTTCTGTCATACTGTCATGTGTAATAACATTACTTTGGAACATGTAAATACCGCATTATACCACAAATCCCAAATCATACCGGAATATGCACCTGCCACTACACATCTCCAAAAACTAAAACTCACGCTGATACTGAAAATGATTGTAAATGGCAATTCAGTCTCCAGTCTGGAGGAGGGTCTGTTTTCCATCACTTCTTGAGATTCAAACTAACCCTGCAACAAAAACAGCTCACTGCGGACTTCTTCTTTAAAACATATGTCCATATATAGATAGTTCATCTGCCCTCTTATTTATTGCTAGCACTTGATTTGTTGCAATTGCTTCACTTCAAAATATTCAAGCCCTGTATGGTGAAAAGGCTAAACTATGTCCCCTATACACATTCTTATTCATACATACACAATACCAATACCAAAAATGTGAGAGTTTAAAAAGTTCAATAACAATACATCAGCTAATTATTAATGTTCTAACATAAGCACAGAAAGAGGAACTAACATGTTTTATAAGGATCCTTAAAGAATATTGACCAAGATATGTGCTGAGTGGCACATTTTACAGCTGAAAGATAAATAAACAAAGTGCTCTCTAGTGCACTTACTACTAACTATGCAAACTATGCAAACATGTTCTTCTTTTTACTTACTGCCCGACATAAACACCAATACCAGTGTACCGGTGATATAGTTCTATCTCTGAGGGTAGAAAGTCTACAGCCTTATAAATCAGTGGGTCCCAACCTTTTTCATTTGTGACGCCTTAAAAAGAAGCTTTTTTAACTTGTGACTCATTGCCACAGGTTGCAAAGAGCAAAGATTCAAAAAAAGTATAGAAGTACAAAACATTTTTTTTGCTGCTTTTGTATCTACTTTTGCATCAGATTTTATTTTCAAGTCGTCAAATATGGCAGCTTGGTGGGTGGCCCTATGCTTTTAACTAGGACACTGTAGGTAACTCTCTCGCGTAATTTTGTACGCACCTGTCGGGCATTGTTTGATGATGTATTATAAAGAGAGACATATGGAGGAGGTTGGCGTGGATGGATGGGTCAAACAAACACAGGACTTTGACCCAGGAGGCCACTGTTTTGGTACGCTACTTATTCTACATATGTCACATGACTTAATTTTTGTATGTGAGGTTACATACTTATTTGAACCGAAACCAGTCTTTTCCAAGTAGTTTTTGTGCCTATACCTAACCAAACTGCAACTGTTTAAAATTCATAAAAGGTGATATGTTTCTCAGCATGCTTTGTTTTGAAAGTGAACTCTGACCCTAACCTTACAGGCTCCTAGTTTGAAGCGTAGGGCCATGTGTGTGTGAACATGCGATACACAGTCCTACCAACGGTGTCACACTATTCCTCTGATCAGCAGGTCGCGGTAACACTAAGATATGTTGTTGTGGGAACAAAGACGGGGAAGAAGAAGAGTGCAAGCTAACAAACATACATGTAAACAATACAGGATTTAAAATACAAGGAAGGAAACATGTTTGTTAGAGCTCACACACAATGCGTTTTGGTGAATAAACAAGCCTTTTTTTCATGGTTACAAGAAAACTCCACAGTACTCCGCCAGTATGCTTTATCAGAACTGCTGCTCGGATCCCGAACCTACTAAGGTTGGCAGGACGAGCTGCAGCCTCCGGAGTCTCTGCTTCAGTGCTGGTGGAACGGCTGTGACACATTAACAAGTGTTTGGACAGAGAAAGTGTTCCTGCAGCACTTCATCACAGTTGTACAAAGTTTACACACTGCAGAGGCTTTTGTCAAGTTCTCCATTTTTCTCTCAGAAGACAGTTATTGGACTTTAGTGCTGGGAGAAAAAATGTAAAAGCCTGCAAGCTTGTGATAGTTACTCATCTTTTTGTTGTTGTCAAAACTTCGTTGTGAGTGCTGCTGAGTTCAGGGTGAATCAAGCTAATCTTTCTTTTAGCAGATCAATGCCATTGAATTGGCAGTTTCTAGCCAATGCATCAATCCTTACCCTTACCGTCACAACCACCACTCCTGCAACACCCTTAAAAAAAAAAAAAAAAACAAGGAATCTTCAGACTTTAAAGCATGCTTACAAAATTGAAGTAACATGGAACTTGAGTATCTTTTGTGAGCGTCCCTTCTTTACTTCAAGAACTTTCCTTTCAAGCACTCTTGGCTTTGTTTTCTTTTTCAGAGGCCAGTGGGATGGCCCTCCCATGGTGTGTGTCACTTGGATACCTTCAACCCACTGCTTATATATGAATGAGTTGGTTTGATGGAGTAGAGAGTAAGGCATGGATGAACCTCTTTTGTGGCCATGCAACCACTAAGCTTACTGAATGCACCAACAGGGCAGCCATACTCACACTGGGAAGGTGCTGTTCCTTCTTTCTGTCAGGATGAGTAAAACCGCCTCAGTCATTTCTAACAAAGCAGCTATTACAGGGAATTATATGTCGTGATCCGACTACAAAAGATGAATAAAGACCTTGAAAACGCTCAATAACACGTCCTCCAGGATTACACACGGTTACAAGATGAGCATGCTGAGACTCTGGGTGAACATGTTAAGTGAGCTTCATTAAAATCCAGACAAATCCTCTTTACTGAGGTGATATATGACAGGTAAATTAATTACGAGTAATTATTCCCTCATTCAGAAGCGGCGTAATTTGTTCGTCCGTGGCATCAAAAATAAAAGGAGGGAGTCCAGCGTCTGACCCTTGTGTATCAGCCTCTTGTCTAAACTCTCTTGTACTTGGACTCCATCCAAATATCATTAAAAGAAACTGTGCGCACACACCCCCTCCCCTCCACCCACCTCCCTACACCAAAAAAAACCTGGGATTCCAAACTGTGAATTCCTCTTTAAATCAAAAGGGCTCACAAAACAGCAGCTGCTACCAAAAGCAAAGCCCCGGGAAAACGCTCTCTCTGACTGTTACAGCAGCAGCTCCAACTCGACAGTAACCGAGCCCTCACCTAAAAAGAGTAGTAATATTAATTACCAATGGAGTCACTTCATGGAGATTTGTTAGTCGGAGCAAATGGACACTGAGAGGGCATCCAAAGTCTTTCCATCAAAATATTCAGAGAGGACCATTTCCGAGGCAGTGTTCTCAGCTCCTTCCTACCGGGGTGAATGGCCTCTCTGTGCAACCTGCCAACTATCTGCCAATGGCCGCTCTCTTTTACAAGTGAATAGACTGAGTTTAGCCACAGTTAAAAAGACACACTAACGTGCCATGGCTGCGCCACAATGGCCGCTCGGGTAATTTGCCAAACCTAATGATGCCGGTTTGGCCCCGGCTAGAGGAGGTAGAGAGAAGGAATCCTAAAGAGGCACACAGCTGCACCGATCCCTCTCTTCCTATCTCCCCTCTCTCATCTCCGTCTCCCTCTGTTCTCTTATCGTGAACTCTATTTCATCTGCTTTTTGGAAAATGACCAGGGCGTATAACCAGATGCTTCTGTATTCCCTTAAAATGCTCCACTATCAAGACTTTTCCCACATTTCCCCTGAAGGAAATGTCTCTGTCATTAGATGTGACTGAAAATGAATGGCCTGCCCAACCATTCCTGACAATATGAGGGATTTTAGCATCTACCTGCTCAGCACCAAACAGCACACGGACACAGTTAGAGATTAGCTGGTCAACAGAGTGGAGCATTTAGCAGCTAAACAGCCAGATATTTCCCTCAGGAGCTGGTGGTGATACCAGCTTTACACAATAACAGCATAGTAGTCTGAAGCAATTTTGGCCTATATCAGTGTTAGGCAACCTGCAGCTCCAGAGTCTCGTCAACCCGTCTCTAGTGGCTTCCTGTGGCGTTGACAAAAAATTATATGGAAATTGATTTTTAATTAGTTCAAATTTGTCATTGTTGCAGGCCTAAGGTGATTCTCACATTCTCCCATTGTTAAAACATGTATCCATTACACACTGAATAAAAAAAACGTTTTTTCATCAAATAAAATGTGCGTCATACATATCCTCTCTCGCTAGCCTAACTATGGATTCCATATCCCCAAAAACAGAAAAGTCTCTGAGAAAATAGAGAATTGAACAGTGTGTGGATACATTTGTTTGCTTTCACTGCTGGCTAACAGGTATGTTTTATCTGCAGAACGAAATTAGCTGTATATGGCATTAGGTTATTATAGCATTATAAGTATGTTTCATGGCTCCAGACAGATGTTTTTTTGCTGACCCCTGGGCAATATAAGTAATACTGACTTGACTTGAGAATATGTCAAATGTGTGTCATTTTTAAGCTTGAGCTCTGCCCCCAAGTGGCCAAAAAAAGATGAATGCAGCTTTACATAATGATCATCACAAGTGCAAAGCTGAAATCGAAGGTATTGACCCAAAATTTGTATAGTACATTTTAATCTTGAGTGGTGATCAATAAATGTGTTACTATGCAGAGGCTACAAATCCTCTTCCACCCCTATTGCGATGCAGTGCAATTCAACACTTATTTTATTCAGTACTGTGATTCACCGTGATAAGATACTTCCCAAGTTCACCCCGAATTGTATTTGATGCATACGTTTTTCAGGTCAATTGCATCTTTCAACCTTTAGATCACCGATGTGAAAGTCTTACATCCCCAGTATTGATCTATCAACCGCATCCAAAGATTCAAAGATACATTCAAAGACCATCTTTAAACAGATGGTCTGACCTCCAAACCGATGTTCCATGAGATTCAGTTCAAAGTTCTGGAAAATGCAAGATTGTTGCCATGGTCAAGAAAGTTTTATGCTGAAACAGCATTCTTCGATTGTCTACAGTCACGTGTGATAAAATGATGAGATTAACGTCTGACAGTCTTCAAAACAATGAACTTCACAAAGGGAGTATGATGCATTACCGTCTTTGATTTGATTAGATTGAAACACTGTTTATACCATACTGTCCACCCCTTGAGAAGGTCTGTAATAGGAAAGATATTCAAGTGAGTGTAATTTTAGTTGCAAAATACAATTTACAGGTTTGGATTATATTATCTCAGTATGATAAGTAGTTTGTTTTCCACTTGTGAGTGAAGCTCTCATTACATTTATTCTTAAATGTACCTCTGAGTGCATGTTGTGCTTTTGTGTGGCTGGCCAGTACAAATAGTGCAGATACAGCTTGAACTAATATCATCATGCCAGCGTCTTTGAATATGAAACTCTTGGGTGACTTAGAGTCTCAGTATTTTAATGACTAATTCCGGTTAATTGATGCTGCTGTCATGAAGAAGGACCTCATAAAACCTGCTCCTTATTCCCCAACAAAGCATATTCGGTATGTGGTGAGGTATGTAACTATTATTTACAAGTAATGACTAATAACCTGACTCTCTATAAAAATCAACCTTGATCCTATTAGTCATGTAATCGACTGTGAGGGGTGCCAGCTCTGTTTACAGCAATTATTTGGGGGGAAAAGGAGAGAATAATCACAATTTCTACATCCAAATCGCCAGGTAGCTGCTCCTAGTCAAAAATATTTTTGAGTATCCAAAGAACACTCTTCTTAGAAAAGGGGAATTAGGACATTTTAAACATTACAGAGGTTGGAATCAGTGCAACATGTGGAAAACTGCCAGTTGCCAGTGTATTGAACTCTCAGGTTCATTCAGACATAATTTTAAAACAGACTATCCAGGCTATTGATCCACGGTTGGGAGTCTTTCCCTGTGTCTCCCCTCTGCTTTTCTCTCCCACACTATCCCCATGCCAATTTCAGCACTCACGCCTCAGACTGAACAAAGGAAATATCCACTACACATTACCTGAAGCCCCCAGTGTTAACACATGCCTATTCACGCTGCATGCAGTCTCTGCGAGAGTGAGAGACAGAGCGATACGCGCTGAGGATGGGAATGAAAAGGGAGGGGGGAGAGGTCGAGGGTCACGTTATAGATCATTAAAGGAGAAATGAGCCTGCAGAGGGGAAACAGACAAACTGACAGACAGGCAGAAAAACAGCCACAAAAAGTAGCCGACTTAGACACAAAGACAGAAAGGACAACACAAAAGAATAAGTAATTGCACTGCCAACCTCCACATGGGGTACGTGCGTGCACACACACACACACACACACACACACACACACACACACACACACACACACACACACACACACTGCACACACACAGAAATGAACAGGAAAATAAACGTACTTGTTCGCCTTGGCCAAACTGATCCGGGAGACAAACGGGTGGCACAGATCCCGACGCTTCACATGGTGAGAAGGAAAGAGAGAGGCATGAGAAACGAGAGAGGGAGAACTTGTTACACATCAACACACAGTGGCACGCTGACCAGAGTGTGTTCAGGACGATCGGGGTGGAGGAAAGGGGTGTGTGTAGGGGGAGATGGAGGGGGTTGGAAGCAAAGCATTCCTGTTTGTGCAGAGCAAACTTTACTCTGAATAGAGAGGGATGTCTGCCCTGTGTGAGTGAGTGTGTGTGTGTGTGTGTATTGTTATCCTTGTGAGATCCAGCTTTAGATGTAGGTTAAAAATAGGTCGGATTTGAATCATCTCTTCAATCAGTTGTGTTTGTCTACACTTTGTACTGCATTCAGATCACTTGACAACAGGTTTATACTGATAAATAAACATACATACTAATACCCTTTTCAGACTGGTGCACTGACCCGGAGTGGTGCTAAAACAACAATAATTGCATACATCTACCTCCTGTTGAATGCACACAAATCTCTGACTACAAACCTATTCAAGCCAAAACTACTTAAAGACACCCTGTTGAGTTCCGCTAGTGACTGATCAACAGTTGGTAGTAACACACAATGCACCAATTAAAGCAAGGAAGAAGAAAACAGCTGGATGTAAACAATGTAGGTTTTGTAGATTTCAAATATTTTTAAAACTCGGCTTTGCCAATTTTTTCCACAGCATACCACCTCAGAAAATATCACCCTCTCCCTGTACTACCATATTATGACCGACGTTAAAATACAGCAGCATAGGCCGACCCTATTCAGCTACAGACAGTTCACGCAGGAGGCAGGATTATTCCTAAAAAGACGATTATTTATTGTTGACTGATGGTGAATCCTGAACGGAACATTTTACACATTTTTATACCATTTGACAGGGAACCGGCTCTGTTCTGGTTCGAGCACCTAGTTTTGAATCGTTCTGAGCATTTTCACTATAAATAAATTGGTTAGGAACCTGAAAAATTGATTCCATGATGGAACCAAAAAATAGCAGGTTTTCCTTGGGAACCAAAGTGGGCGTGGCATATTCTACAGGTTGTTGTGCATCGTGCAGCTTCCTCTGTTGATGACGCATCCTTAATTACAATGGTTCTGCTCAGAACTGGTGGAAAAGCAGGCTGGTTCACACCAACCACAACACAGCCCGAAAAAGTGATGAAATGCCCTCTATGGTGGCTGTCCAGTGGAAAAAACATAATGAAATGTCCTTTTGGGTGCCCTTCCAATGGAGAAAACGTGATTAGGAGTGGTTCAAGTAATCTATCAAGCTATGTGGTGCCAGCTTCTCAAATATGCTATGTTTATAAACCAAACGATTAACTGATGTTAGTTTCAGCCCTACACACACAAATAGAACCCTTTTGTGCAATGTATGGTGCAGAAGGCATTGAGATGCAGATCTTACTGTGAGAATACTTACTGGTTTTGTTAGTCAAAAAGCTTTGAGAAACGTCTTTGCAGTATGAAGTGCACAATCCTTTAGTAAAAGCTCCAAATCTAGTGCTCTTTTTGTGTTCTCCCAATTAAATTGAGCTGCTGAGGACTGTTTCTTCTTCTTCAAATAATCGTCCTCTAAATCAGTGTAGAGTTGGACAAGAGGGGAAGTGCGAAATCATTTGGATACAAAGTCAGCCTTGATGTTGGACGAACACAACTCCGATATCATCAATGTGCAAAATGAATGAGGTAGCAAATGCCATTAGCTCTGACAAACATATTGTTTGCCTTAACAAAGAAATCCAGTCTGGCCTCTGGAGCTATGATGCCCAGCAGAAGAAGTTTACTAGCCAATCTGACTGAATGTGACGCATCAGTGACAAAAAGTGTAAATACGTGGCATTAATAAATAGTGGAGATTGCACCTTTTCTACAGCAAAATACCACAAATACACTAAAGTATGATGCATTCCAATACTACAACATTAAAGACGCTATATGAAGATTTTGTGATTACAGCATCTTTGAAGCAAAAGTTTTTGTCTGTGCAAAAGTTAACTGTCAACCCTTCATCTACTACTGAGAGCACAAAACTCATGCATTTTCTATTTCTACACAAAGTGGGTTTAAACTACAGCCTTACAAAGTAACATGACATTGAGTCAGTATTTAATACAGAATCTGATCTTGGGTACTCAGGGTTTATTCAAATCCCACTGCATCCTGTCACAGACACATTCTTCTCTTCATTCCCAAATGGTTTTTGGTTTGTGGTGCCTTTGTGATATTTACTAGCATGTCAACACAACTGGCTGACACGCTGAAGTTGTTAATCATCCCTGAACGCAGCATTCGCAGTGAGTGCTGGAGATTATAGGGCTGGTTGACATAAATACCAGAAAAATACTGGGTGTATCGAAATGTTTTTCTTCTATTAATACATTAGAAACATTCAGGATTAGCCTCACGTCCACGTTAACAACAGAGGATAATGCCCTGAACCATTGTGGATATCAAAAAGCAAATCAATCAACTTTGTGAACCTGTAGTTTGGAATATTTTATTACAGACATTACTGTGTGTACCCAAGTTCAAGAATTAACCTCCTCTGAAATAATCTTTATGTCAGTTTTGGCCTTCTGTCCACATTATTTTTTTTAGCCTGAAAACAAGTTTTTCAAAAATGGCCCCTAGAGTGGATAAATCTGATAATGATGACGTGGTTTTCTAGCATGGATGGGGAATATAGAGCTTTTGGAAAATAATGAGACACAAACAATAAAAAAAAAAAATGGACGCATGTCATTTTCAAATGTATTGATGTCGTGTGGACGTATTCTGTGTCAACAAGCAGGAAATATGACGGTCTTCGTTGTGTTGACAGAGACGCCACTCATGCATGGCTGTAGAACTGGATGTCAATCTGAGAAGGAGAAGGGGTGACCTCCTATTCAGAAATTAATGGCACCAATAAATCATATCCAATGAGAAACGACAGGATCATTTAGCTTCCTGTGTGCCCGGCAGAGCATAAGAGACAAATAACACTTCCCGGCCTCATCCCCAACCTTTACAGAGCAGGACATTCATCTCTCCCCGCCTCAGTCTCACCACAGCAGAGTACCAAACCCCCTTAGGAGGATGAATGGCTCGTTCCTGTGCAAACTTCAGGATGACCTCCTCCGGCTCTGTTTTTACAGCCCTCCTGTCACTGGTGAGGCAGAAAGATTGCAGGCACAGCGACACGCAGGGGAGTGCTGAGCAAAAGCCAAACCAGGATCAGTGAAAGATGGCCAGAGCAGAAAGAACAGTGGACTTCAGGTGGGCTACAAGGAGGCCACCAAGCTGTCAGCTAAACGAGCGAATATGATTGTAACTTCTATATCACCTTGTATTATTCTGAAAATGTGTCAGTGTGGGTTTAGAGCATTAACTACCTGTGATTGCCAGTGAGTGCCAGCGTATTTTGAAAAGCCCAAATTATTGTGTCCACCTCCGAGCATTTTTTTGTACTATCTGCGTTGTACATTTTTGATTTCCTGCCGTTTGTCGCAATCATTTCAGGCTCAGAATAGTATAATTTTAAAACATCAGTGTGTCTGCTAATCAGCCATTTCAACCCAGGGCAGTGTTTGCTCAGTTTTCTTAAAAAGGCACAGCATGTCTTGGCCAGGAATATTTTTTTTAAAACTAATTAGAGAATTTAAAGCCGCATTAACCATTTTTTTGGCCACTGATTTGGCAAATATGTTACCAAGCAGCTGCTTATTTACACATTCAGCAATTACGGTTAACTATTTTAGCTCTGTCTTTGGTCTCCACCAACTCCTGAGGGAAATATCTGACTCTTTGCGCCTGTTAGTATTACATATATATATATAACATGTGATCTGATCACAACGCACTCAAACCACTTGCAGAGGCGCACAGCGCACCAGCATCTCTCCTGCAGCGCTGATAACAGCCCAGGTAAAAGCGGGGGGCTAGAAGGTGTTTATTTGCATATAGAGCGGGGAAGTGAGATCCGATCCGAAGTGGTCACTCGAGACGCATTCTAACGCCAGGTGTAAACTGATGTACTTAAAGCTGGCCAACTGAGCTCTGATCATCCAAGACTCGTGTTAATACCAGGTGTAAACAGGTTCTTAAGCTGCTTATGCTCCACAATGTTCGACCAGATAGTAGATAGATGACATTTAGCGATGGCTTGGTAGACGCTAAAAGACACTGAGTCCTAATCTAGGCAGGAATTATGATTCCTCCGAAGCAAATCTGTAGCATATTAAATAGGAGACAAGGTTGAAAATGCACAGCTAAGACAGTCATGGTACCTACTCTGTATGTTTATATCAATTAAAAAAACATATTAGTTAATCTCCAATGATTTCCATTAATCCATGGCCAGCTGCAAAGGAGGCCTACAGTGGTTACCCAACAACTCTTAACCCCCAAAACCAGCACCCAACCCCGACCCCGTCACAGCCCTCAATGGATGCCTTGTCCAGCACATAGCGCTCCACTGTGAAACAGGTCTGTGTGTCACAAAGAAATATTGACTTTTAATACTTCAAACATTCAGCTTGCTCCGTTTTCAACAACCCCGGCTGTGTTGATTTTGGAAACCCCCGCAGTCACTGACGTTTACCTTTCTACTGGAGCAATAAAACTGTGCTTACAGGAGTCACACACACACACACACACACACACACACACACACACAGGAAGAGGGTGAAGTGTAGAGGTTAGACCTGGACAAGCGGCCCAGTGAGGACACTTACAGTGATTTGCATATTAAAAAATGCAATGCATTGAGGTTAAATGAACAGTTTAATATTCTGGGAAATATGCTGAATATGAGATATCAAGTTCACCTAGTTTAGTGTAGGTCCAGGACATGTTTAGCCTAGCTACACATGAGCTAAGAGCAGGGGGGAGCTGCTAGCTTAGCGCTGTCCAAAGTGAAAAAACGTGTCATCTTAAAACATGTCTTATTATACTTCAAATCTTGTTTATTTACTTGTGCAGAAACAGAAATGTAAAAATTAGGGATTGTGGTTTTAGGGGGTAGTTAGCCTTTGAGCTTTTTCTCGCTGTGGGTAAGTTAGCATCTCACGTTGTATCTCAGAACTCCTAACCAAAACCGTCCCTCACTTGTGAGTGGTTTGATACCCAAATGTAGCTTAGAGGCTAGTGAGTGCTGGTATTTTAAGTTATAAAATGTGCTTAATATGATATATCAAGTTCAATTAGCTTAGCATAAGTCAAGGATGCGCTTAGCCTAGCTTCACTTGAGCTACGAGCAGGGGGAAGCTGCTAGCGTAGCACGGACCAGAGTGAAAAAAGCTGCCATCTGACACCTCCAAACACGTCTTATTTACACTTCATATTTTGTTTATTTACTTGTGTAGAAATAGAAATGTAAAAATGAGAGATTGTGGTTTTAGCCTTTGAGCTATTTCTTGACCCAGGGTTAGGGTTAGCATCTCAAAACTCTTCTCCAAAAACTGCCACTCACACAGCGGTTTAATACCACTCCTTTCCCCCAGCAGCTAGCCCGCTATCAGGGACCTGTATGCTAAAGCTCATACCCCGACCCTGGAAGGCTGTGGTTTTCTACTGCTTTCTGGGAAAAAATCCTAAATAAATAAAAATAAAAATAAAAAATAAATAAAGGTTAAACACACTCACAAGCGCAGTCTCTGAGTCTGAGTTCTGCGCTGTGTGAGTTTAGAGAACCTTAACACCCAGCCGCCTGTCCATCAGCCCCGCAGCACTAAACCTGCTCTTTCTCTCCTCATCCATCTTTCTCTCCTTTTCCACTTCAGCCTGACCTCATGTGAAACTGTGGAGGTCTGTGGGTAACACATTCAGGCATCCAGTTTAATGATTTAATGCCACATCCATTTAGGGGGGTTTTATATTAGCAGCAGTAAGTCCCTGCGTGTCTCTGTGGCCCCTGTTTCCATTCAGCTCTGAGGAGGATTTTAAGCTGATGTTTAAAAGCTGGAAAATAAAATAAAAAAATGAATCTACCCTACAATAATGTCTTTGACTATAAATGAATCTGATATTTATTACATGATTGGTCCTTGTCTGAGATCAGTAGCTATATAGCTCATTTACATGTGCGGTTAAGAAGGTTAAGATAGAGCTGTGTTTGCAGGTATATTTTTATCCCACCCATATTCCGCGAAGACTCACCCCTACTCTGCCTCTGATTGGCTCTGACCTTAACCATCTCACGAGGCAAAAAACACTAACCAATCAGAGGCAGAGTAGGGCGCGGGTATTTGTGGAATAGGCATGGAGAGAAAAATCAGGGGGGTTTAGGGGTTTAGGGGTCTGTACCTAGACTAACCAGGAGGAACACAGTAAGAAGTAAGGGTACTCAGCCCGTTTCAGGCACTGCTATGCACAATAGAATAACTGATAAAAAAAGAAACATGCTTGATTATTGGACTCAAGCAAGTCTGAAATTGATGTTCATACCAGAGAAGAAATGAAAGCCGTGGTCACAAGGATGTTAGGAAGGTCATATATTTAAAAAAATAAATAAAAATGGGAAAATGTTTGTCAATTCTGTAAAGTACAGGATATGTGATTTTTAATAAACGTGCTAAAACATGTCATACCAACAGGTTTTTCTGACAGAAGTATTTAGTAATGTTTGGAGGTATTGTGCAGTACCTGTGTCATATATGTGTGATGGAAGCTTATATATACTGTCAATGGATGGAAGCAGAAAGATGGCACAGAAGAATTTCAGGTTAAAGATTTAAATGCTGCTACATCTTGAATAAACTATTTTTGTTTGTCTAATTAAATCTGTACAGAGACAGAGAGATGCCATGGCAGAGAAACAAGTGTGACAAGGTGGTTTCGGCTCCACTAGTGGGTCAGGACACATACAGTTAATGAGGAATGAAAAAAGGGAGAGAATTCAGCTGTCAGTTGTGTGGGGGCACAGGAAAAAAAGTTATTAAGTGAGATAGAGTTATTGCAACCCAACTAAAATGTTTTTATCAGCATAAGCTATACCATAAAATTAGGTTATTGTCTTATTTTTATGAATATAAATCTAACATTTTATTGATAAGAATTAGTTTTTGTGTAATTCCCACAATCCTCCACTATAACACACCTTTCTGGCCAACAGCACATCGGGTGGAGATTTTAAGCACAGTTTACTTGATTACTGCTTCGATGCTACCACCAATTAAGACCATAACAAACTCCCTGTAGTACCAGAACATTAAGCACAGTCCAGCTTATCCTTAACTCGAGTAGAATCAGTAAGGGTTTGGTTACTGAAGTGAAACAGGGCAAAGGAGGAGATATTGTTGCAGCCTGTATCCAAAGTTCTGTTAAACGGGTTAAAACATGCGGGTCCACCGGCAGATTCACCGGATACTTTGGGGTTCGCCTGCTTGAAGGTTTCGGATATAAGTCCTGTGAGAGGAGCTGCAGGGTTTACAGCTCACTTTGATTTATTTTGTAGGAAAGCAGCATCTCAATGCCTGTTAAAACTATTATTTAATGCCGGCTGTACCCGTCTGTTAGTTTCTACTGCTTGCATCAAGCACGATTTGTTTTTCAGAGAAAACATTTTACTGCTGTGACTACTGATTGGTAGATTTGAGCCGAATTAAAGAGAGGACCCTAACTATAGGTTTGTTAAATATTTTAATCTAAAACCTGTTTTCCGGAATGTTGAGCAACAATAAAACCATCATTTTTAAACGGAGTTCGGTGTTGATTCTTTCAACGTCGCGGCTAAATGAATAAAAACGAGAATGAGTGGGCTATTATCTTTCAATAGGTTACTCATGAGAGAAAGTTAAATCAACTAAATGAATCTGGAGCTTACCTGTCACTTGTGGTACATCGCAGGATGCCTGCTGCTGGTTTCAGTTGTCAGGTTTCAGAGACAGACAGATGGTGCAGATTCACGCAGCCCGTTATCCCGAGGTCTGGACTCTGCTGCGGCTCTGTGAACAGGAGCAGGTTACAGGTTTAATGCAGACCAGTAGGGGTGCTGTCAGGAGCCACACAGCGGACCACATAAACTCTGATAAGCTGCCATAATATTTATAAAGTCCAGGATTCAACATGTCTGTGTATGTATGAAGACAATTCCTGAGCAACCCTTATTAAACTAGAACTATTTTTAACTTTTTTCCAACCATAATTAAATATGTTGTATTTTTATATTTTTATTATTTCAAAATCAGTTTTCTTCTTGTTTCTACAGCTGGATGTTTGATTCACTGTAAAGAATGATGTATGTGCACAGTCTGATACTAGAAGGATGTTTTCACATTAATCTGCTGAAAGTGGAAAGTTTCTCTGTACTCATTGAAAATCAGATTTTAAGGGGCGGGACCTACCAGCATGATTAGTGACATCACAAATGGTTTAGGAGTCACTTTACAGTGAACTGTGTCCAGCAGGAAAACTTTAGAAATGAACAAAATTAGCATATTCATAGATTCTGGAATATTTAATGAGGTACAAATTAGATGCTTTTTTTAAGGAGTTTAATGTGGAAATTATACTTTCTTTGCATTTCAGACATACATTATTGTTCCAAGCAGACTATATATATCTGGAGGGGAGCTCAGTCCCCCATTTGATTCTGAATGCCAGTAGCTATTGTCAATAACTTAAAGACAATAATCCCTGTCAGTGGATATGCCGACCCTTGTCCCATAAGACCAATACCTCAGTGAAGGCATAGAAAACCTTTAGACTACATTTTAAAATGTAGTCTAAAAAATATCAGAAACCTTGGGAGAGACCCTCTGGTAAGAAATAATGCTGGGACAGAACAATAAAAACAAATGCAATGACATTGACATAAAGAACAAAGATAAACACCTACTCAACTTTTTCTTGTGCCAAAGGCTATCTGTCGGCCAAATGTGTTGCAGCTTTATGATCCACTGACCTAGAAACATACAGATGGTATCACTGGCAGAGGTTTGGGCTCATTTAGAAAAGCTTGGCTGCCATCTACTGGGACTCTGCCCCCTATATTTCACTGATATGGTTGAGCTGTAAGCAAAGCTTGTTTTAATCAACCTGCAGCCAATAAAATTAATATATATGTAAAGACCCTTTTTTTACGTTCAATCCTAAAGATTACAAACGTGTGAGTATTTTATGGCAATGTGAAATATTTCCACAATATTACAGCCAAAGAAAATCATGGCATCCTGAGTTTGAATCTTTCACTGCAGGTAAACATGATGTAAATGCAATTAGGTGTTAGAACAAGCAGAAAATGTAATATATATGACTATTGCTTAAAAAAATTCTCATTTCTTTTATGGTTTAATAATTACAAAAATAAAAATAAAATGTTCTCTATTTAAAAATCCATCTGAAGTAAGTTAAAAATATATTGTCCTTGTGGAATGTGTGAACCACTATTTCTTTTAATTTTCAGTTTAAAGCCATTTTTCAATAAACTAGGGGGGCTTACACTCTACAATTACAATTAAAACATATGGTGGGTAGTTTATGGCTGATCCCACTATTTGAAGACTTAAATATACCCCTTACTCTTGATGATAACACATGTTACATGTGAAATAACAAAATAAAATGTGGTAAACAGAAATTTCATATTTCTCAACCCATCTACATCGACAATATAAATGCTCATGAAAGCCTGAGCTATATTTTTTCTTGTGAAATCATAAACAAAAAATAATAAAATATACTCAAAGTATAAAAGTAAAATGAATTGAGCCCCCTGTGAATGACACTTTATTATGTATTAGATTATCATTACTGATGCATCAATGTTTGCCACTTTACTGTGTAGCTGGGTAGTTTAATCTCATCATGTTCCTTTTATGTCAAATCTTAATGTGAAAACTACTATTGCTGTTCAATACAGTGAAGTAAAAAGGACAATACGTCCCTTTGAAGTGACCCATAAAACTGAAATCCTCAAGTAAAGTACTAACGGTACTTGAGTAAATGTAGACTACTTAGTTACTTTCCACCACTGCTAATATTCATGTGTAATAGCATGTTTCCATTTTTCTAGCTCTGATTAAGTAATTTCCCGCGCTTTAGTGATTCACTATCAGCTAATAGGAACAACGCAATCTCTTTCCGGTGTCTCTTCCATCCAATAGGCGATGAGAACCCGTGTGAGCCAATGGCGTGCGTCTGAGACGGGTCTCTGGTTCGATGAGCGCCGAGGAGAGTTGATAAATTAAGCCAATGGGACGACAGCAGCATTGTGTGACCGAAGCAGGCCAGGGTCTGCCGGGCTCATTTCGCCGCTTCTCCACCCGGCTGGTCTTTTTTGGATCTCACTGCAATGGCGGAACAGCAGCAGTTCTACCTCTTGCTGGGTAACCTGATGAGCCCTGACAACAACGTCAGGAAACAAGCGGAGGTGAGAGACGAAAACGTAGCTGTTGTCACGGGTGACAAGTTCGGCGAGTGTAGAAAGCAGGGCGGTCGGGTTAGCATGAGCTAACGTTAGCAGCCGAGCTACCCAGTGTGGCCGCGCGCGCACTGAGCTTTCACGTCAAGCTCGGTAGCCCACGTGCAATGTGAAGCCGACAGCGAGCACTAGTCTGCTAACGCTAACTACCTCCATGTTGCGTAGTTATGTGGACCTAATGTAGACCCCGTTGGTACGAACCGAGTCGTGACACAGTGTGGCTGTAGCTACGTGTTTGTGTTTCTTTGTGTCACGCTCAGTCGGGTTGATTCAGAGTGAAATGTTCTGATTGTTGGTGCCAATCCTAAAATCCTCCAGCTGACAGTGGAGCTAGTCACATAGCTAGAGGAGTACAGGAAGTAGCATGAAGCTAAGGAGCTACCACAGGGTTGCTAGTTTCATTAGCTGGCGAGCTAGCGTCGAGCAGAGTGGGTTGCTAAAAGAGTGAAAACGTATATTCAGAAATAAACTGCTGACACATACATATTACGTTATATGTGCAAGGTTGAGCGACAATGGGTGACGTTATGGGGTTGGGAAGCCAGTTCATTCAGAGGGGCGAGCTACGTTAGCAGTGCTCATGGAAAGGCCTTTAGTCATTTCATCTGAAAGTCTGTTGAACCCAGCTGTTTAAAAACGTGCTGTTGCCTTCCTGGTTTGCTCTAATGTTGCTAATGAAGCAAATGATCTGTTTCAGCCACGTCACTACACGGTCTGGTCCCAGGTCATCCCCCCTCTCTGGATTAGTTTCCCTCAGAGGATTTGTTTGAGCTCAGTCTAGCTGGCCTATTCACTTTTTTCCCACCATGATTAGCCTCTTGTCGCGGCAAGGCATTGTTACCACGGTTTAGCTACCTCTTTAGCACCCGACTTTTGGATGAGGTGGTTGAATCTTATCACACTCCCTCCTCACTGGCAGTCAGCGTTTCCCTTTGTAAAGCACAGACTGTGTGCCGCGATGCTAAGCTCATTGGAATTCATCCTTTATAGAACCCCCCCCTTTCTGTCTTACATACACAATAGGAATCAATCCATCTATGGAGGACTTTAAACCCATATTTTAACAGCTACAGTCTACAGCTACCAAACATTTGTAGGTGTCCAGACCAAGTTTTCCCCCATTGAGGACATGATGAGAGGGTTGGCAAGCCATAAAGTGCAATACTGTTGCAGTCTTAAAGTGAAAGTGCCATCGTTGTCTTGGGTGTGGGGTTGTGGTGGTGGGGGGTTTTGGCTGTTTATGTTTTATAAAAGGGATCCAATGTTAAAGTAAGGCGGATGATACTGAGCCACTGACCGCCCTAGGAACCTGATTATTGTGAGGAATCTGTTTAAAGCAGTTGCCTGTGTTCACATCTAGTGTAATGTTAATAGTTGGTCACTCTAAACATTCAGTTTCTATTTAAATGCATATCATTAATCTGGTTTCTCCCCCACCATATTGTTAGCACAACGAAACTCCTTCCTGTCCTGCTTCTTTGTCATGCCAATTTGTGCACCTAAAAACACACAAGAAATCCATTCCAGGGCTTTTGATGGGCACATAATGTTTCTCTATCTGGAAATCTGGTGATAAACTCGTCCTCCCAATCCTTTCACCTAATACATTTCACCAAGTTATTTGACTATTAGCACCATTTGCATATGATCGTATGTGATATTTTTCTTAGAGCACACACCCAAGGTCCACAGCATCCCCATAGAGAATCATGTGTTTGCATTTCTCATGTGGCTTTAATGAAGCAGTTTAAGAACACTGGAGACATAAACAAATGCGTAGCACAGTGTGCATCAGAACAGCCAGTCTTGTTTATGCAAAATTCCCCCTCGCTGAGCTTCATGTCTCATGATGCAGGAATGACATTATAAAAGTTGTTATCTATAAAGGTATAATGCTTTTAAGTGTACATGCGTCCTACTTCTTCTTTTACCACTGAATAGAATATTTGGCCTGCAGGGTGTACAGATTACAATACAGGCTTTTGGGGCTAATTTTACAGACATGCTGTAAACATCCAATTATAAACATGTTTTTGAGGAGCCACACCCATCATAGTAGTTAATCCATAACAATAATAAAATTCTGAACTGTTTGTTTGAAATGTGCCATAGCGTGGAATTATTGCCATGTGCAAAATGCCATTACTTTGTGACCACAACAAAGTGAACATGACACCCTCTGGTAGAGGTTCATTTTTCACGGGGCTAAAAATGTGCGTCTGTGGGTCTTGTATCTGTAAGCATGCACCAAATGGCATGTCTCATTCTTACCGCTGTCCATTCATTTTCTTTGCAGGAGACTTATGACACCATCCCTGGTCAGAACAAGATCACATTCTTGCTGCAGGCCATCAGAGATGCATCTGCTGCAGAGGAGGTTTGTACATGTAACACTAAAGTATCTGTGGAATGACATGTCTTATTCTTTTAGCCTGAGTCGGAAGCAAGCTACAGAACATATTTGGCCCATGGTTAGCCTTTAATGTGCTTTGTGCCTGACTTGAAAGGGCAATCAAATGTTCCTTCTTTGAGATG